AAAATAAAAAAAAAAATAAATGGGATTATCGAATGGACAGTAAACAGTAAGTGTGTGGAGCGCTGCTCCACACAGGCCTGAGGGAAGAGTAAGTTGTTGTGACCCAAGTCGGCACATATTTTAGAAGAAATTCAGCCATTGGAATCGAAGTTAGTCAATCAAAGAGAATCCGCAACAATGTCCAACCACTCACAGACCAGAGTGAGTAGCATTTCATGATCCCTATTCTTGAGTTTCTTAAAGTTGGATGAGTTTTAAGTATTTAATGCTAGGGAGAACCCAGGGCCTCACACATGCTGGGCAAGTTGCTCTGCCACTGAGGACACCCCCAGCTTCTGTTTTTGGAGACAGGGTTTCACTACTGAACCCTGGCTGTGCAGGAACTCATTATGTAAGCCAGAAAGAATGGCTTCCAACTGCCTCCGCCTCCCAAGTGTTGGGACTAAAGGCACGCACTCCAGTGCCCCGTGAGTTTAACTCTTTTGGAGCTCTAAAGCTTACTACAAAGTTGTGAAACCCCCGGCATGTAGCTTTCTCTTCCTTGGATCTGCCTTTTTGAGTTCTGTATTTTCTGTCCCGGGAGTGTGGTCTTTGCCCGATGACAAGCCCGGTAACACCAGCATCTAGAATGGTTTTCCCAGTGAGAAGTAGAACTTAGTTAAAGGCAGGCACAAGGAGCCAGTGAGACAATATGTCTTTATCACAATGGTCCACTCTAGGTCCTAGTGTTTAAAACGACCTACCCAGTGAATTGGAGTGGGACACTCCTTTGTGAGGCAGAGGCAGGAAGATCTCTGTGAGTTCAAGGACTATGTAGTTCTGGGCTATGTAGAGAGACCTATCCTCTTTTGTTTTATTTCATTTTTTTAAATCATTATTAAAAATCATTACACCTCCTGTTAATTAGTACAAACTTGTGGGTAAACATTTTGCTTAAATTTCAATGGTGCCTCAGATTTTAATAAAATGTTCCTTTAAGAATCATGACTAGCCAGCAGCTGTGGCACACGCCTTTAATCCTAGCACTCAGGAGGCAGAGCCAGGCGGATCTCTGTGAGTTCGAGGCCAGCCTGGTCTACAGAGCAAGATCCAGGACAGGCACCAAAACCACACAGAGAAACCCTGTCTCGAAAGACTTAAAAAAAAAAAAAAAAAGAGAGAATCATGACTAATCTCCCTTTCATGGCCATTTGGTCATAAAGTGTAAGCTTTGTCAATAAGAACAATAGTACAGATCCCTGGGCCTATCCCTAGGTTGGAGTATAGTCAGTATTAATAGATCTGTGCAGTTCCTGGACATGGTGTGACACGGAGAGGCTTAAAAACAGGTGTCTGTCCTGGGAGGAGCCGCAGCCGCTCTGAGTGACCAGACCAGGGCCTTGCTGTGAGATTAAATGCACCCTGGATAGGGCGGGAAAACCTCCAATATGCAATCATATAAGCAGATTGGTTGGACCCCCTAGCAAGACCCCTGATGGCTCAGGGAAGTGTGTCTAGGAGGCTGACTGTGATGGTGGCCATGTTGGACGGAGGTATTTTCACCAATCCTTCTCCTTACACGTTCTAACCCACCGAGAAGCCGCCGTGGTACCAGAGAGCCTTCTGGCACACCCTGTTCTTTTTTTGTCCCAGCTGGTGTGTGGTTGTGGTTCAAGGTTCCCACTTCGTTGCCTCCTTTCCTACCTCAAAAAGTTGCAGGGCCGTTCAAATAGCCACGGAGCCCCGAGCAGCAGGACTCCTCCTGTGAGAAGCCCCGGGGAGAGGTGGTCACTCCACTGCTGCAGCCTCTGTGCTGTGTGTCCCTCACCCCCACCCCGCCCCGTGTCTGTCAGCGTGTACAGATGTGTGTCCTGCGTCGTCACCGGAGGCAGAGGTCTCGCTTGCACTAAACCCTTCCTTTATCCTGCCGATCAGCTCAGGGGCCCCCCTGCTTTACCTGAGCAGAGTGTGTCCGTAGAAGAGCTACAGGGTCAGCTCGTGCAGGCGGCCAGACTGCATCAAGAGGAGACAGAGACATACACAAACAAGATCCGGAAGGTAAATATTTCATGAGGACCCCAGCACGCCTGCCCCGAGGGCTGCAGAGCCCGCCCCCAGGAGCAGTGCCGTGATGCATTTTACGGGCACGCTGTCTGTTGCATGCAGGTGTCGAGACCTGTCGGCATTTGGACGGGTCACTCGCTTGAGAGGCTCCCTCTTAGATGCACCGGAGAAAACTGTCCATCTTCCTTTCCACTCTGTAAGCACGCTTTTCAGTAATGTTGTCCCTCCTAATCCAAAGAGGGGACATTCTAGAACATTCCAGAGATGCCTGAAACCACAGAGAGTACCAAACCTCTCCTATGCTGTTTATTTTGGTGTTGTTGAACTTGAAAATCATGCGCAGTAGAGATGAACAGCAGTAACTAAACCATTGTAACAAGGTCCCGCAGTAAACGCTTAAGATGGATGAAGTAGTTATTTAGGGGGGTTTCCTATTCAATATTTGTGGACTGTGATTGGCCCTCAGATTACAAGCCACAGTAAGCAAGACCGTGGATAGGGAGAAATGTAGTTTCATGAAAATCTTCAGGTCTGGTTGGACTTTCCTGCAATGATGCCCACCAGGAATAACTAACATGAAACAAGGTCTTCAAATGTCATCAGGAAGGAAGCGTGTCTGTCACCGTGAAGGGAGTTGTCCGAGAGAAACATCAACTCACCCAAAAGTGTTGTCTTCAAAAAGCAGCCACTAATTGAGCTATGGCCTGGTTAACTTGTAGTTATTTTTAAAATTATGTGTTACAGGCTAATTATCCTTTATCCACTAAGGGATTCCCAGATCCTGGTGCTCCTGCCCTGGGCCTCCAGGGACACTGCCCTGCCGCTTGCATCTAATTAAGTTGTGAGCAGGTATCTAGATGCAGATTGCCACTTCTCCCCTGTGCTCATTCTTAGAAGAGAGCTGTAGCTTCAAAAGGAAGCAAAGCAGAGCAGTTGGCACCGAATAAGGTACCTTGATCCTCCAAAAACACATATACTATGCAAAATGAGTCATTCGGTATATCCAAGAATTTGTTTTGGCCAGGACTATGTGCTCTAGGCACATACCTCCATGGTGGCTGGGGCCAAGAGGCTCTAAATGGGTCATGGGTAGATTAAGGGAGTGTCTGCTATACCTTGCAGCTTAGAAAGTGCAGAGTTGGGTGCCAGACCTGTGCCTTCTGTTGTGTCTTCCCAGGTGCACACTCCTTTCCAAACGTATTCTGTAGAGGTAAAGTTTCATACATTATTACCGAGGAGAAAGAATTACGTAAGAGAGAAATCTGCCCCTCCACCCTCCATACACACATATGCACACACATGTAGGTGTTTTCATTGCTCCAAAAAATGCTTCGAAAGGTGAGGCTGGCCCCGGAGATGCTGGCAACCCGGTAGCAGAGTCCCAGGTGTGGGTTTATGGTAAAGGAGTGTGTTGAAAAGGTCTTCAAAAGAGAAGGTGTTATCTTTTAGCTTCTTGAGAAGGAAGAGGACAGAGAGCGAGAGGCCAAGCTCTGGGCTCTAGAGGTACCTAATGGACAAACAGAAGGAAGCAGACAGAGAAGTGTAAGGGAGGTCCATGGGTCCCCTAGGGTCTGGACAGGGTGCTGCCAGGGAACAGTAGAGCATGATGGAAGTCGTTACTGTTGCCTTTGCTCCCCACTGAGGTACTTGGAATGTCCCCAGTTGGGGTCAGTGCAGTGAGGAGCTGCAGAGCTGGGTTTCCAGGGCCCCCGGCTCTTCCCTACTGCATGCCATCACGGCCTTCTGGGGATAACCAGCATTGGGACTCTGAGGACTGTGGAGGTGGAGAATAAATCAGTCGTGTTTCCTCTTCCAGCTTGAAATCCAGTATAATCCGGTGTTAGAACAGTAGCCAGAGAGGTCCCTGCACAGCCATGCGGACCTTCTCAGAAGGTATCAGCCTCCATTGATCACATCAGGCCATATTGCTATCTCCACCAGGCAGCCATAATTGTAATCCTATGTATGGTTCTTAAGGATTAATCTAACTCTTTATAAGAAAACTACTTCCTTGGCTTTTGGTCTAAGTGTTAAGTCGGAAGGCAGTGGTAGGGCTGCCATTCCAACCCTCGTTTTGGTCTGATTCAGAAGCCCTACCACTACAACAAAGGCTTTTATCCTTCAGTCTTTATCTGAAAAATAAGATTTTTATCTGTACCTATTTGCTTAGTACTGACACAATAATTGCTTCCTGCTTAGAAGAGCTCCATATAGATATTAAACAAAAATAATTTAGCAGCTGGGCAGTGGTGGCACACACCTTTACTCTCAGCACTTGGGAGGCAGAGTCAGGCAGATCTCTGTGAGTTCGAGGCCAGTCTGGTGTACAGAGCGAGTTCCAGGACAGGTACCAAAACTACATAGAGAAACCCTGTCTCAACTCCCCCCCCACACACACACAAAATGATTTAGCCAGGTGTGGTGGCATATGTCTGTGGTTCCAGCTACTTTGAAAGGTGAGGCAAGAGATTTGCTTTTAACCCAGGAATAGGAGGGCAGTCTGAGGGACATAGTGAGACCCTGTCTTAAAAAAAGAAAAAGCTCAGGAACTTAATGCAGAGATGGAGATGGGTAATTCTTCAGTGGTGCTTTCATTTCCCTAACCGGTGAACACATTTAATGGGCACACTAAGTCTAAAGTATGGAAATGGGTCGTTACATTTGCTTACTGGTATACACAGTTGAGTCCTGCATGCTCAGGAAGAGTTCTTCCTGGCCCATCTGCTCTAATTTTCTAGCACATAGTAGGTCTTCTGTTGTCTCAGTATTCTCTACCGGGGCTTGAGAGAAGCTGGAAGCCTCAGGAAGAGGTGGATTTCTAATTCTTTTCTTCTCTGCCATAGTAATGAGCCCTTGTGTGCCAAGCACAGGCACACAGGGGAAATGGGGTCTCCTTAAATGGCACCTGAGTTGATTGCAAGCCATGTGTCCAAGTAACATTTTCCTGATGGCAGTTGGAGCTATCTAAAAAGCATGGAGGAAGGTTGACAGGGAAGACGATTTCAATGCCTTCCTTTGAAATATCACTTGCTTCTAAATCCCCAAATTCATGAGGTTTTTGCACATCAGGTCGTTAATCACCCTGAACGTATGACTCCCATGTTTCACATCCCCCGTGCACCATCCAGGTTGGACAGACGGTAGGGCTGCTCCCGAGAACCTTGGTTGGGTTTGGCCAGCCCATCGGATCCATCGGCTGCTTTTTCACTGCCTCTTCTCGGTTCTGTTCAAGATGGAAGAGGACCACCTCTACGCTCTGCGGTGGAAAGAGTTGGAGATGCACAGCCTGGCCTTGCAGAACACCCTCCACAAGCGAACCTGGAGCGACGAGAAGAACCTGCTGCAGCAGGAGCTGCGGTCCCTGAGGCAAAACATCTTCCTCTTCTACGTCAAGCTCAGGTGGTTGCTGAAGCACTGGCGGCAGGGCAAGCAGATGGAGGACGGAGGAGAGGACCTCAGGGAGGTAATGCCTCCCACCCACGCAGCCCGTGGAATTGGTGGCTGCTGTGTTCCTGACAGCCCCACACCACTCTGCCACCCACCCAGTGTGACCTCTTGTTGTCATTTATCCTTCGGGGTCGAGCCAAGCCACGGAAACAGAGTTGGCCTATCCCAGCATGCACGAGTGCCACACTTGGACTCAAGTCTAAGTGCTCTAAGGTCTTTCTTTTTTTTTTTTTTCCTGATTTTTTGAGACAGGGTTTCTCTGTAGCTTTGGAGACTGTCCTGGACTAGCTCTGTAGACCAGGCTGGTCTCGAACTCACAGAGATCCACCTGCCTCTGCCTCCCGAGTAGGTCTTTCTTTAATTGCACCCTGGAGCAGTTTTGCTCACTCCTCCTTTGTTGTGGATGGATAGAAATCCTTAAAGTCATCATCATCCCGAGGTCTTCACTACCTCATTCAAACTCACTGGTTTATACAAGCTGGTGCACAAATGTTTCCTGTCCTTGCACGTCCCCACATGCTGGAGCCCGTCCCTCCAGCTCTGTAAAGATCTCTGCTGAGCCTCGCGTGGGTCACTTTGTGTATGTTTACACATGTCATAGCATGCATACGGAGGTGAGAAGACAGCTCGAAGGAGTTGCTTCTCTCTTTCCATCACGTGGGTCTCAGTGAGTTCATGTCTTTGGCCTGGGCTCCAGCATGTGTCCATGTTTACCCATGTGTCTCAGTTCCTAGATGTAGAGAGCGGAGTTTGTTGCTTTCTATTTAGTTTTGTTTGTTTGGTGTTCCAGTGTCTTACCTGCTTGTAGATCTTGTGCACCATGTGTGGGCCTGGGGCCTGGGGCCTGCAGAACCCAGAAGGGAGTGTCAGATCCCTCTGGAACTGGAGTTAATAGATGGTTGTGAGGGGCTGGGTGGGTGCCGGGAACTAAACCCAGGTCCCTCTCTGTGCAAGAGCAGTCAGGGTTCTTAGTTCCTGAGCCATCCCTCCTGCCCCTTCAGTTTTTTGTTTTGTTTTGTTCTTTGAAGCCGCATCTTTGTATGTGGCCTAGGCTGGCTTTCTACACAGAAGTTCTTGTACCTCAGCCTCCTGACTGCTGAGGTTGCAGGTGTGGGCCGCCGTGCTTAGCACTGACCAAGTCCGGAGCGCCCCATGGCTTTGCGTGTCCTGTTCCTCAGTCTCGCTTTCTGTCACAGTACGGTCACACGCAGCGTGGGCAGCCAGTGCAGCCACACAATCTACTAACTCCGCTGCTCCTGCACTGTGAGTGCTCGGAGCCCTTTGAATTGCTGAAGCCTTTTGTCTGCCCTTTTAAGTGACCCTGCAAGTGGTAATTCTCTTTCCTCAGATTGAAGAACATCTTTAAAAGTTTATTCAACCAGGTTCCCAGGGTCCATGACAGGGAAACACATTGTTCAGCCAGGCTGAGATATGGTTGTGAGGTTTCTTGTTGATCAATACCCTGGAATTCCTCCTCCTGTCGTTTATAAAACTGCCACTGTGAGCAATCATAATCTACAAAGCATAAAGCTTGTCATTAATCGTTTCTTACATGCCAAGCACCTTTGCTGCCTAAGGGAAAGAAGTGTGGTTAAGTAAAGCTAGCATCTGAGGGAAACGACCGAGGACCAGATCACCTGCAAGGTGAGCAGTTACCCGACAGGCCACACACACAGTTCCAGTGTGAGGAGGAGTTTGTTCTCACACAAAGGCTCGTCTTGGCTACTCTCATAATGAGACTCGATTGCAGGGGGAAACGTCAGTCTGTAGAACAAAAGAATATAAGCAAAGTTAAGATCTTGTGTGCTGCTTTCAGAGTGAACAGCCAGACAATGTGCCTGGGTTTGCGGAGCTCGGCGTCCAGGGGGGTCACCAGACAGATGGAACAGACCAAGAGGATGCTGACCGAGGCTGCGGCCTTCCCATGGGAGAGCATGCCCCACACTCCCCGGTACACATCGGTGAACATGGATCGCGGCTGCAGACTGCAGATGGGGGACCACTCAACAGGCAGGTGGGTGCCTAGCTCTAAGCCCAGCATTCTATATAGCTGGAGGAGACGTCTAGGCCCTGTTTCTATAAGGAGAAATCCACAGAGTCTGTTTAAAGGGCAAAGAATTTATTAAGGAGAAGAACTCACTTGACACGAATTCTGGAACGCTGTTCCGGCCACCTGGATCAGTCTCGCATCCAAGTCTCTCACATCCAAGTCTCGCGAGGGATTGAAGAGGGAGCTGCCTACGTGCATCTCAGGTCTTAAGAGTCTCGGAGAGGCCACGCCCCAGGGGCATGTACCTCAAGGTCATAGTAGGTAGGACAGTTACCTGCTATATCTCTAGGGGTGGTGCTTCAAGGTCATAGATAGAACAGCTACCCACTACATGTATCTGTCATCTTATTCCAAATTGTTGATGTTCCCGGCTGCAGCAAAGTCCTCCACTGACGTGACCACCTGTTGGTATTGGGGATAGAGTTGGGGTGGCTAGAATCTTACTAGCTGTCAGGCTGCTCATCCGTTCACTTCAGTGTCAGCTCATCGATTCATTTGATTAACCCATCACTTAGGACCACTGTAAGATCAAATCTATTGAGTATGTACATCCTTGGATCTGGAAAACTGGTCTCAGAAGGAAGATATTCATTAGACAGACTTCTAAGAAGAGAGAATACTCACTTTTGTCATAGCCAGGAAGCAACCTTCTTGGTTAGTATTTAACAGAATAGTCTTTGCCAACAGCACTGAATTGGTAACCTAGTTGATAGGGAAAAATAAAGAAGTATTTGTTTAAATTCCCATCATGCACGAAGTATTTCATGTTTCTCTTGGGCCACTTAAAACACACACCCAAATGAAAATGCATGGTGACACTTTGAAAAAAAATCATAGCATGGGTAAAGAGGAGTGAGGTTTAAATGTTACTAAATGTCTGCTGACAGTGAGTCTTGCTGACAAACCCTGAAGACCAACTCCCCCCCCACAACCCACTATTGATAACATAAACTTCATTATTTTTATTTATTTATTTTTGCATTCCTCTAACAAAGTGGTGACTCTATTTGAGTTGGAGACTTGAGATCCTGAGGTGGCTCTCTGAGTTCTTTCTGAGCTTACGCGGCTTCTCAGAGAGCTTGTGCAGAAAGCCTGGAGTCCCCACCCCGACTGCCGGCTTGCTGGTGTAAGGGTGCGGGTTTTGGCACCGGGCACGGCCCAGCCTTCCAGCCACAGCTATTCTGGATTACTCCTGCTGTGTGTTCAGCAGCTGCTGCTTCTCACCTGTCCAAAGTGGTGTGTGTCAAGTGGGAGATGGTTGTCACCAGGCCCTCAGTGCGGATTCCAATGAGAAAGTGGTGTCTTTTTGAGTGCAGGCTGGGGGGATATTACTTTCTCTTCATATACAAGTCAGAACAGTTGTCTATACCCCACCCACCTTCATTTTCCCTGAACAATGTGACTCAGGATGAAGATAATAACTTTCAAAGGAGCCTCTCCTCGGAGTCATCAGGAAGTGCGTCAGTGTGCCAGAATCCCCGGGGAGATCTGAGGTCATGGAATAAGTTTTCCAGCAGTGATCTAGTTAGAAACTAGAACGTTACAAATTATGAATAAAGCTTTAAAATGTAGGCATTTTATTGTTGTGAAAAGAGGTATTGTCGGGCCTCTGCGGTGGTGTCTGTGATTGGCTCCAATCAATAGACAGAAACATGCCACAACCAAGACCATGCGGTGGGCATTTCCCAAGAGTGTATCCAAACGCTTTGGAAAAGGGAAGAGATGCAACACATCTGGTTTTCCAAATAGTCATGGAAAATGTTACCCTTGGGGGCGAAAAAATAATGTAAAGTCACTCAGCCGGAACCACCCATCAGAGTGTTTGAATGTTTATCTCCCCTTGCTTGCCGTGGTTACTCTTAAAAGTAGGGCAGACATGTGAGTTTCTTCTGCAGACAGCGTGCTGGAGGATGGGCTGACGGGGGAGTGCGCATGTCAGAATCAGGTCTGCATCTCATTGAATCTGCCAGCCAGCAGTAGCAAAAGCAAATGTGTGCACAGTGCCATTCGGAAGAGGACAGGAGATTAATGAGCCCTAGTAACGACAGCTGGTTCGCTGAGAGTGAACGAACGTTCTCCATTAGAAGGTTTGCCTCTCTGGGAGTGGTACGGTTATTAGCTGGGCAGCCTGGATGCAAGAGTCACTACATGTGTTTTAAAGAGCCTCTGTGTAGAACCATGGCCCCCTCCAAGCCCTGAGAACCTAGGGGAGTGAGAAGTAGCATGGGAAACACTGCCAATCAGCTTTCCCATGGATGAATGAGCAAGTAACAAAAAGTAACAAAATTTCTCCAGCCCCAGCCATGGATTTGTATCTTGCTGCACATTCTCACAGTGGGACACTGTAGATGGCAACATTTATCATATCCAGAGAAGTTAAGAAATATCGAATGTACTGACTCACACTGAGTACAGGTCAGAAGCAAAATTCATCAGGTTGGCAAACATTGGTTGTGCCAATGTTCCCTGCCTCCAAGTCTTTAGTTACACAATCCCATGGCAGTGACCTTCTCAAGCACAGTATGCGCTTTTATTTTCCTCGCTGCTCTGTCAGGCTGAGAGCGGGGAGAACCAGCTGTATCATTCACATTGAGCTTCGGGGTGTAGGCTGCCCCGTGGCCATTTGAGGCCAGCATTCCTAAGGCGGTTTATGCATTTCGTACTCTTTTTAGTAATCCCTGAAACCGAGGTCTGAGACACAGGTGATTCATGTTGCCGGAATTGCAACCCTGTGGTCACGGGGTGGCTTGGATGACTCCAGAGAAAACAGCTTGTTTTCCTGGCATTAGAATAATTAATTAAAGGAACATTACTCTGATGCCCAGAGATATGACACAGTTTATACATAGTGATTGTGGAGAGCCTAGCATAAGATTCGATTCACAGCAATAGCTTAAGAAATATGGTTTCCCATTAATCTCTAAGCTTCATTCACCCTGCTGCTAGGGTCCTTCGTCCCCAGTCCAGCTGCAGTGGTGAAGCCTGAAGAGGCTGCCCCCAAAGCTAGCCTTCCCCCCACCAGCAGGCTTTGACTAAATCGAGTACTTGAAGCCTTGTTGCTTTCTAGCTGTTCATGCTGCCTATATACCACCCCCTTCCCAAGATGAAGAGACTTGCAGAAAGAACACTTCTAATAGATGAGATTAGCATGTCAGAACTATGAACTACCACTCTCACTCAGGAGGCTGAGGCAGGGGGATTTCAAGTTAGAAGCCAACTTGCAGTACATAACAAAACCTTGTCTAGAAAACAAAAAACCGACCTCAATGACTGAGGATGTAGATGTAGTTCAGTAGTAGGGCACTTGCCTCAAAGGCACAAAGCCTTGGGTTCAGTCCCTGAAAAATTAAATCTTTAAAAAGTTCCCCTCTTGAGCCTAGATAGTGTTTACATTTTAGCTTTGTGCACTAGGGCCTGGTTTATTCTTTAGAGCTTGCAGCTTCTGTAGCTTAGCTAGGAGCCAGACCGGAGCAAACCAGACCGGAGCAATCCAGACCAGAGCACATGATCACACACAGTTGGTCTTTGTGGTGTCTTTGCGGCTGTTGTCTCTGGAAACCGCACACACAGGTAAAAATTCAGAGGTGCTCAAAGTACTTCATAAAAGGACTCTCTCAGCCCCACATCCTCCCTCCCAGAATTCACCACACTAAGTTGTTTATAGCATCCCTTCCACAAGGGAGGAGTGTGTGTGTGTGTGTGTGTGTGTGTGTGTGTGTGTGTGTGTGTCTCCTAATGCTCTTTGAACAGTGGTTCTGTTGCCACAATGATCCCCTGACTTTGATTAAACCTGCTCTGGTTTTTCATCTTGTGAGCTGGTAACTCCGTGTCTAGCCTACTAAACATGTACCTCCTTAAGAGGCCCTCACCCACCTGATTTCATTCTTGGGGGGACTCTTGGATAGGCACAGAGCCCTCCGGTCCATGAGCCGCTGGCACTTTTCCAGCCAGAGGCAAATGACTTCTGCATGAAAGTAAGTACCATTCCCGAAAACTCCCACCATAGATTATACTTTGAAGGGCAGTCTTCGGGGGCCCATTCTTTTATCTACAGAAAGATAATGATTTCAGAGAAGAATGTTGAAGTTAATCTCAGCATAACAATGAACCAGAGTAACAAATAAATGGCTTAGGAAAATGTTGCTGATATGCAGATCCATCCTTTTAAGGTCTTGTTTGGGGTTTCCTGCCAATAGGTGGGGGACTGCCTGGGATTGGTTTGTTTGCTTTTATTTAACACCACAAAAGCTCCCCTCTCGCCTTTGAATGGAAACTGGCCATGCATGAGCCAGGCAATCAGGGCAGCTCCCCTGTCTTGTGAGTAGCTGAAATAAATAAGAGACAAAGGCCATCACCTCTGTTTTGTGACTGGCTTTTTGTGGGTCACCCCACAGTGGCAGATCAATATATCCCATTCATCTTTAGATGAAGCCCATTCCCAAAGGGAATGATTGGCTCAGAGGTAAGCCAGGCAGAGCTCATGGTAGCTTCACTCTTCGCCTACTTACAATTGCATGTGATGCGTGTATCTCAGAAATCTCAGATTCTGAAAAAATAGCTGGCATTGCATCACACATATCTTGGTATATGACCTTATCCATACTCCTGCTTCACTTGCTCTGAATGTACCACAGGCTTGCAAGGCAATCTGGTGGACTAAAGGCCAACCTTGAACCTGTCATAAAGTATGACCCGTGAGCACAGATCTCAGTTTTGGACTTTTAAAGTGTCCCACCCCAGAGAGATGAGCCTGTGAAGGACTGGGATGCCCTTAAATGCCTTAAGGAATAGGAAATAGTAAAGTCACTATTGCCGACCATCCAGTTTGAAGAGATTTGGGAAATGGTATTTTTGTTTTGTTTTGTTTGGGTTAAAACTTACCTGTACTAAAATGTATAAACCAAAACATAAGCTGCATAGCTAGACTCTGACTTGAAAGGTTCAGAAAGCTCTTGTGTCCAAATGACTGACCTGATCTTTATGGATCAGGGTCTTCACTATGTAGCCCTGGCTGGCCTTGAACTCACAGAGAACCTCCTAGGATTGATACATTTGCCTTTTACCTTTTACTTTGGATCATCTTTTTACCCTGAAACCTATCTCAGCAGGAGGCATCAGAAAAGACATGAGAAAGGGGACTTTTTTGGTGGCTCAACTGTTATTATTTCCCTTACTGAGGGAGACGACAGTGTAGCTGGAAGTTTTCCTGTTTCCCAACCAGTCCTGCAACCACTTGAACCCAATTAAACGCACAGAGGCTTATATCGATTAAAACTGTTTGACCATTAGCTCAGGCCTACCACTGACTAGTTCTTACATTTAAACTAACCCCTAATTCTTATTTATGTTTAGCCATGTGGCTTGGTACCTTTTCTCAGTTCTGCCTTCACATCTTGCTTCCTCTGTGTATGGCTGGTTACTCCTGAGTCAGCCTTCCTTTTCCCAGAATTCTCCTCTCTGCTCATCCCACCTATACTATACTTCCTGCCTGGCTACTGGCCAATCAGCACTTTATTTATCAACCAATCAGAGCAACACATTCACAGCATATAGAGTGATATCACCCATCACAACAGTTTCTCAGAGTAGGATGACTTCCCCAACAAAATGAAAAGAAAACACCTGGGCACATTGTAATGTGATGTTTTAAATGTTTCTGGCTTGGGTTGTCTGTTAGTGATGGAGATGAGCCTAAGTTATAGTCTAGAGAGTGGGACCTTGGCATACCTGTTTGTCCTAGGCTTTAGTTCTTCCTGTATAAAATGCATCAAGATTGATAGGAAATAAAAGGTCAGAAGCTGTCCTGGCTTCCTGCCACCCCACACAGGGTTCTTGGGTGATTGTGATAACAAGGCTTGCTTGCTCTCATTGCTCATCTTCACCCCGAAGCCATTTTGGAGTGCATTCTGTGGTAACGAATACTGTCCTGGGATCATAGAGTATTACACTGATGACTTGGACCCAAATGTGCATAGAAACATTAAGGCTTAATTTTTATCGGATCCAATATCTGCTAATGCCAAAAAGTGCCCACTTTGCTTCCAGAGAAAGTAAATTTTCAATCTGCAAAGAGGCCGTAAAGCCCTGATTTTAATGTCCTTAGTGGTCATGTAACACAGGGCTGAATCATCACATGATCCTAATGTTATTAGAATGTGGTACAGGAGCCGAGCCATCACAGGCTGAGCCTTTATTTGATTTGGGATTCATGGAGAAGTGTTGATTGCATGGTTCACTGCGATTTCTTCCATGTAAATGTGATGACTGACTGCCCCAAGACTAGATCAAAATTATTATGATTATTTTTCCGCTTACATTTCATTTGATCCAAAAGGTAGATGATTTTTATTTAAAGATCTAAAGGTGAAAATAAGTCTCTCATAAAACATATCATTCTTCAGAACATCCTGTGCAAAAATGTGTATTTCTTTCTTATGTTGATGGGTAATTTGCCTGCAAGTGTATGTGCATTGTGTATCAGTAGTACTCACAGAGACCAGAAGAGGGTGTTGGGTCCCTAGAACTAATGGTTGTGAGCCACCACGCGGTTGCTGGGGGGCAAACCCTGGTCCACTGGAAGAGCAACCAGTCAGTCCTCTTAACCCCTGAGCCATCCCCGTGTCCTTCTGAAGCTGTGTGTCTCTGAGAGGACTGTTGCAGTACCTTTTCTTACCCAGCTGTTTACACTTACGTCCCTGGAAGGTACTTTTGATGTGGAGTTTTACATGTTCGTGAGTATCCATCTCCATGAGGACCAGGCAAACATTGTTACATAGTGGCAGGGACTGTAGAATTGAAAAGTTTTCTGTCTGCCAAGGTTTTCAAACGTTAACTGAATTCTACTCTATTTTTTTTTTAAGATTTATTTATTATGTATACAATATTCTGCCTACATGTACACCTGCACACCAGAAGAGGGTACCAGATTTCATTACAGATGGTTGTGAGCCACCATGCGGTTGCTGGGAATTGAACTCAGGACCTTTGGAAGAGCAGCCAGTGCTCTTAACCTCTGAGCCATCTCTCCAGCCCCGAATTCTACTCTTGATGCCTTTTGTCACAAGTAAATATTGGTGTTCGCCATCAGAAAATTAAAAAAGGAATAAATGGTGATAGACCTTAACACTCTGTCAAAACCAACTACATTTGATACAGTAACTTCTTCATAAATTGTGCTATGCACTTCCAGTTAATCAATATGCTGTTGGTGATTGAATTCACTTGTTAAACATAAACATATACACACAGTAGCTCAGATTCTTCCCATGCACAACAGTCTTTTCTGGTTAGTGGATTCAGAAGTGTCTTGGAGACACGACATTGTCATCTGTGAAACTTACACACTTGAGAACCACACAACAGTTTATAAATGTTTCCAGTAAGTCTGCTGTTGTGTTCTGGTCCGTCTTCATGGCTGTTCTTTGACAGAGAGTTGAAGGCACGTGACTGAGAAGTGGTCTTGCGTGTAGAATGTGAGCTGGGGCCTGCTGTACTTGCTGAGTGGTGGAACAGTGAGTGAACTTTCTGCATTCTGTGTGAGCCAGGGGCTCTGACGTCCTGAAGTGGCAGGTGGCACTTAAATGTGTGAGGTGGGATTTAGTTTTCAGTTCCCCGTGCTTCCTGAGTAAACCAAACCAAGGACATCCAGTCAAGAGCTCGCGAACTCGGTGCCTTGTGTTTAATTGGAAAGGACCGGTCATAGCCACCCGTTTTATCAAAGAGCTATAATTGACTTAGAGTATTTAATTCAGACAAACTTCCTCCATTTTTTCCCTCTTCTCTTCAGTTCTTAAGAGACGGGTTCTCTCTGTGTAGCTCAGGCTGGCCTGAAACTTGCAGTCCTTCTTCTTACTCTCCCCACAATGGGATTACAGGGGCTGTGTGCCCGACTTTGTGATACAGTGCCCGCGCCAACACACACTAAAACAGGAATCCGAGTTTTGAAGTGTGCCTTCAAAGGCTGGGCAGGGTCTGGAAAGCCTAATAGCTTTTATGTGAAGTACAAACGGCAACAAGTTAATAGCTCAGTCTTGGAATCAGCAGATGCCGTGTGAGCAAGTTGAGTATTTCACCTCCGGGTTTAATTAGGAGCTCTCAAAAGCCCCTCCCATCCCCGCCTGGCTTGTCCTTGTCATAGCCTCGTAGTGACCAGAACTCCAAGAGTGACTGCCCTGTGTCTCTGAGAGGTCTGGGCCCTCATTGATGACCTCTGCTTCAATAGTTGGCATTGGAGTGATGCTGTACCATAGTGGCCAGCCCAACTCCGAGCCCTGGATATCTCAAGTCCCACAGTGTGTCCTGACAGCCAATGGCTCCCAGTGGCCTTTGGCCACTTCTTGATTCTAAACCGACCCTCAGGGTTGAGAGCACCTCTGCCGTGGATGCCCACAGTACCGATCCATGGTCCATTCTCTGAACACACCTACCCAGAGCCTTGGCCTCAGGAGGCCTCAGGCCCTGGTGGGGACCATCTTGGATGATTGTAGACCAAACCCACAGGTACCTTCTGCAGGGAACCTGGCAGGTGCTCCAGCCCCCACCGGCTAAGAGACACTCTTTAGTGACATCCCCCTGACTCTGTTCCCACAGGTGGGGGAAAACCAGCAGCTGTTCAGGGCCCTCAAGGCCCTGCTGGAGGACTTCCGCTCGGAGCTGCGGGAGGACGAGCATGCCCGGCTCCGCCTGCAGCAGCAGTATGCTAGCGACAAGGCTGCCTGGGATGTGGAGTGGGCCGTGCTCAAGTGCCGCCTGGAGCAGGTACCTGCCCCCTCGGGCCACCTTCCTCTTGAACCCTGTGCCGGTCCCCTCTCCAGGATGAGTGAGGAAGACACAGATGACTTCTCCCCAGCCACCCCGGTGGGGGGAAGGGCAGGGAGAGGGGAGGAAGGGCAGGGAGAGGAGCCGGGGGTGGGGGGGTGGGGGGGTGGGGGGGTGAGGCTGTCAGGGAAGTGCCTCACCTCCCAAGTTCCTCTGTTCCCTGGGCGCCAAACAAGGATGTGGAGGAGCCCCATTGGAAAGGACAGCCAGTGGGAAGTTGTCGCCATGTGGACTGACTGTTCTGAATCACAGGAAGCCAGAGTAGAGGTTTTTGTGTTGTTTTGTTTTTTCATTCTTTTTGAGACAGGGTCTCACTATGTAGTTCTGACTGGACTGGAACTTGCTGTGTAGACCAGGCTGGGCTGGGACTTGATCTGTAGACCAGGCTAGCGTCCCAGAGATTCACCTGCCTCTCTGCCTCCCAAGTGCTGAAGTAAAAGGTGTGCACCAGCGCCCTGGCTTCAGCCTGTGGTTTTGTCAGCTCTGAAAAAGGGCAACATGTGGCTGCCCTTTAGAATTTTTGAAATATTGAAAGGAGCTTCCTTATTTATACCAAGGAAACTGAGGCCCCGAAGGGTGCAGCTTGCTTCAAATCTGAGTCAGTGCTAGCGTGGGAAGAGCCCATGTGACCCACCTCCAGCGAGGATTTACAGCCCAGCCTTGGGAGTGTGGTTCGGGCCAGTTTCTCTGGGTGCCTCCCATATAGTGTCTACTGCTCCAGGGTGCTTCCAGGTCATAAGGCAGGAACAAGGTCTGTGTGTGTCATGCATTTTCTAGCCTTCGTTGCGAGGCAAACTACAAACTAATTAAAATTTTATATGGATTGGCTCAGTCATGAAAGGAAAAAAAAAAGTCTCCTAAAAAGGAGATACCTGTAAATAGCCTCAATTGTGATAAAAGACAAAAAGAAAACAGCTCTCCTAGGACTCCCCAAGTTCACTGTTCTGACCCATGACCTCCAGGCACCCCTCAAGATCACCCACACCACCACCACCTGACCCAGGATACCTCCCCAAGTCTGCCTGCAGTACCACTGAGCCCAGGCATCCCTCAAGTTCACTTGTCCTGCCACGTGAACTTAGGTACCTCCAAGGTTACCTGTCCTGCCGCTGACCCTGGGCACCCCTCCTGCCATCCGCCATCAGATTTCACAAAGCTCACCTGCTCTGTCCTCTGACTTCAGGTTTAGGCCTCATGGTCCTTGGGGAGGTAGGAACAGAGTCATTCAGGCCAAACTTACGAAATGATAGAACCGTGGCCCTGCTATGGTTCCTGGCTGCTCAGGCGAGAGCTTCTTACTAGACACTCCGTTCATCCTGGCATCCAGTCTATCATGAAATTCGCGCAAGGATGCTCTTCCAGGAGGTGCCATTACATCCCTTTAGAAGTACCACTTGTGAGGGATCCGTGTAAATAAAAAGGAAGATATATTTGTTGATGCGAGCCACGTGCAGACATTGCATCTCTGTCTCAGAGGAGCCTGAGATCCACCAGTGGGTTGGCTACAGATAAAGCCTCAGGGGAGAAGAGCGCCTTCCCACCAGGAAACAAGCTAGGACCTCAAGTTCAGAAGCCAGGTACCGTTCATCTTCAGTACCACAGACTGTTCATCTTCTGCCTCATTTGTTTAGGACGTTTCTTCCACATGCGCAGCCCGGGATCGGTGAATGGCCACTAATGCTGTCTGACTTGTCAACACAGCTTGGCCTTCTACTTAGATACAAATCAAACCCAGATATTTTCAGGGGAGCCCAAATCTCTTTTGTTTTGTTTTGTTTTTCTCCCAAACTAATCCTTGCTCTAAATACCTAGGATCCAGCAACAAATGGGATCAGTCTTTGCATAGCTGGGCTTGCTGGTGCATATCTCTAGGGAAACTGAGGCAGGGGGATCCCAAGTCTGAGGTCATCCTTGGTCACAGACTGGAACCAATTTCAAAATAAAAGCACCCGCCGAGCATGTGTGGAGCCCGTGGCTGCGTCTCTAGCCTAGGGGGAAGCAAAGCAAAACACAGCTTTTCTGTTCCACTGAGTCAGTCCTCAGCGACCTGGCACAAGCCCCAAGGCTCTCTGAATAGAAAACCCTCTGCAGACGTGTGCACAGGCCAGTCTGATGGAGGCCGTAGTTGAAGGTCCCTCTTCCCTAACCAGCATACCTTGGCGTACCTGGGTTCTTTGACCAGCACGAACTTCCTCTCCCTCCCCATCCTCTGTACCATCACTGTTTACTTCTATATATGCCGTAAATACAAATGTATCACGTCTGTGTGTGGTTTTTTTTCTCTGCCTCAGAGAATAAGTGATGTTTAAAATCAACTTTAAATGTTTAAAATGAGTTTTATATCCATATTTGCTATTTCCACTGTGCATTTTTGGATAGATCCGAGTGTTGCTCCCATATTCCTTCTGTTTAAAGAAACTCCCCTGTCGGTCTGGGAGGGCAGGTCTGCTGGCAAGAGCTGTTTTTGTTGTACATTTTCATTTCTGTGTGTTAGAAGAGGTTTCTCCTTCAGTTTTGAAATTTAGAATTTTATTGTCTTAGTGAGGTCTCTACTTCTCTGATAAAACGTCCTGACTAAAAGCAACGTGTGGAGGAAAGAGTTTTAGTTTCAGCCTACACTTCCATATCCCTGCCCATCATTGAAGGACGCCGTGGCAGAAACGAGAGGCAGGAGCCTGGAGGCAGGAGCTGACGCAGAAACCATGGAGGGGTGCTGCTTACTGGCTTGCTCCTTATGGCTCGCTCAGCCTGCTGTCTTAGAGAACTCAGGACCATCAGCCTGGGGATGGCACCACCCACAACAGACTGGGCCCTCCCATTATCAATTATCAGTGAAGACAATACCACACATGCTCGCCTGCAGGCCAGTCTTAAAGAGGCATTTTCTGAATTAAGATTTCCTTTCCCAGATCTGTTTAGGTTTGTGTCATTTATCCTGTTCGAATTTTTGCCTCAGCTGCTTAGAGGTGCCCATCGTTCTCTGACTCACATCATTTCCAACGCGAAGTCTTGTGTAATCCTTGAGCACCGATGGTTCTAGGAACTGAGAGGGCTTAGGATAAACAGGATGCTTCGTGGGTACCCAGAGGAGGGAGACCTGCATGCACACCTTAGCGCTGTCACCTTTGCATAGTGTGTCTTTTCTTTCTCATGTCTACCAGTTTCTTCTTTGGTAGTTCTATGGTTTCTATATGTCACCCCTGGTGGTTTGACAGACATTTACTAAAGAACATCGGGTTCCATTGTTGTCCCAGAAAGGGGCCAAAGATATTGAACCTAGCACGGTATCTCCTTCAAGGAGCTGTAGAGGCCGATGACAGAGTGGCTTAGACTGGGAGGTGCAGCTAAGAAGGGGGTCTGTAAGAGCTGTGCTCCACAATCTATGAGATTTTTACATCCAATATTCTTAATTCTGGCCTTAAAAATGAAATTCGTTTTGTTTTCCCATGGGATCGGTCCGGCTTGGCTTCAGTATGCATCCTGGGGTCATGTGTAGATAGATATTCTGAGCTTCCTTTCTCCCTCGGGTGCTGTGCTTCAGAGGGGGTCTTCCTGAGTCTTTTCTTCTTCTTCGGCAGCTGGAAGAGAAGGCGGAGAAAAGCTTGGGAGAGCTCGACTCCTCTGCTGAGGGCAAAGGGGCCTTGAAGAAGGAGAGAGAGGTCCACCAGAAGCTCCTGGCTGACAGCCACGGCCTGGTCATGGACCTGCGCTGGCAGATCCATCACCGGGAGAAGAACTGGAACCGAGAGAAGGTGGAGCTGCTGGAGCGACTGGACAGCGAGCGCCAGGAGTGGGGGCGGCAGAAGGAGGAGCTGCTGTGGCGAATAGAGCAGGTGGGTGTGCCGCAGCCCCCAGCACGGGCAGCAGCTGCAGCAGCGTGGGCAGCTTGCAGACAGCGCACGGCCCTGGCCAGGGGCACCTAGAGAAAGGAGCTTGCTGCTGTCTCCTGCTTTCTGTTAAGGGCATCCGGAAGAAGAGTAAGAAGTGCTAGGTTTCCTGTAGCGGAGGTCTGCTCCCATGTTCTGTGTGTGTTAGTTTCTTTTGTGTACCAGGATACCTGTGAGAACAACTTAAAAGATGTGGGGAAGCCTTGCACCAGTCAGTGGTTGCTTGGTGCGGTGTGCTTGGATGGTACATGGTGGCTGGAGCACCTGGTAGAGGAGCTACTTCGTCTCATGGTGGACAGAGAAGCAGGGAGAATAATATAGAAGGACTGGGCAGGCTGTAGCTCCAAGAGCACAGCCCCGGGGACCTACTTCATTGAACTGGACCCCCATCTCTTTATGTCCTACCACCTTCTGGTAATGCCATCAACTTTGAATTTGTCTAGGATTTAATTCATTTATTAGGTCAGAACCCCCAGGATGTAGTGGCCTTAACTGAAAGGCCTGGCTTTCAAACAAACACACCCAGGTCAGCATTACTAATCTAGACATTTCTCAACCCAGTGAAGTTGACAGTCAAGGTGAATCATCACACCCTTACATTACACACATCCTTTCATTGCAGAGTTTGTAGGCGATTTTGCCTTTATATGCATGTGCAGGGGCTGGGAAGGGACCTTTTAAAGGGATTTGAAGATTAAAGTTGAAAGGGGAGGTTATTTCGGGTTATCCGTCAGCGAGTTCTTCCCCAGAGTAAGCTAACACTGAGGATGGCCACGGAAGACGTGGTCGTGGTGATGGCTGCAGCCTGGATGGAATTGTTCCTATTAGTGAAGTAATTACCAAATTGAGTTAGAAGTCATTGTTGGCTGGCGAGTGCTCCTGCTGTGGTATTGCTGAGCCGTGATTAGATAGGACCAGAATCAAGGGAGGTATCTGGTAGCTCATCATCTCCCGATAAACAAACTCAGATGGATGTGGGGAGGGCAGAGGGAGTTGTTTTCCTGCCGCTGGATAATCATTCTCTGCATTGCGTGCGCTTGGTGTGGTTTATATAGCTGCAGTAGGGCCAGAGTTATGTGCAGATTCAATTTTCACGTCACGCTGAGGAGAGGGTTTTGAATTCCTCCCTGGCTGGATTCCCACCCCCACAGATACCTTGCCTCTTTTCAATCTGTCACTCTTACGAATGCCCTAAGCCTCAAGAAATATCAGTCAGTTAGAAGTGGTAACTGGGAAGAAAGCCCACTCCAGATAGAAGGAGCGGAGGCCTTCCTGGGCTTGATCACCAATGAGTCACCTTGTTAATATTTGATATGGCTCCACTTCAAAATCCTCCAGATACTACCAAGAGGAAAGTTACCATTTCCTGTGTGGTTTGGAAATACAGCACTGGGAACAATCTGCCAGATCGTGCCTAGCATCTGTGCTCTGTTGAGTGGGTCTGCCGCGAGGCAGAACTCCAGGGCTGACAGTAGCATGCATTCTTACAAAATGATCACCAGTTTATCACACCCAACTTGACTTTTTCTTAGGAGACATGAACAGATGTCTCTGCCCCAGATGGAGTTCTGACTACAGGCCAAGAATGATTCCACCCCAATCTAGTTTAGTGAAGCGTTGAGTTTATCGGGGTTACATACAGCACTGTGGATGAGGGGTTCCTTACAGGAGCCTGGGTGGCTCCCGGGTAGAATCCTCACTGAAGAGCCCACTGGAGCACCGTGATTCACAGGAGCTGCATCTCTGGTGCACAAACTGTAGGCAGCTCAGCCTCCAGGCAGCTCCTTCCTCCACAACTGTTAACTGCTTATATAACCTTGGGGGAGGGGGGACTCTTGGTGGATCTTCTAAGTTTCTGTGGTTCTCGGGCCCTGTAAGTCTCATGACGCTTTCTTCTCCCTCCAAGAGGCAGTGTTTTATCTCCTAGGAAACAACAGGTAAGCAGTGGCAGCCTGGGTACTAGGTGCTTCTTGGCCACTGCTTTGTGTCCCTGCCACACCCTGTGAGGCCATGGTGTCCCCTGTCATGGGCCTTTGGGGGTCCCCTCTGCCTGTCATTGCTGCTTGTTGATCCTGTCACAGGCCACTTTAGTGTTGAAAGTCACGCTGTCAGCTAAGCAGGTATCTGAGGCTTTTGTGTTTCTTTGGGGGAGTAAGGAATTTCTAGCAAAGAAGAACTTGGTCAGACGCATCTGGTAGCACTCAGTTTCTGAAGCAACAGTGACCCAGGGCTGAACTGTCTGTCACCTCACCTGGTGTGTCAGGTGTGCACCTGGCCCTCACACCTGTGCCGTAGGTCCTGGCGTCTGTGCAGGATTCCCTGCGCGTCAGGTCGGTCCACGATGAAAGGATGCTGCAGACGTGCAGATGCGGCTTTGAGAACTAAGTCTAGCCTTTCCGCGGGAGTTGTCCGCGTTGCATAGGGTTTTAGAGATCTCACTGCCCGATTTGAAAACTAGTACAGCGGCTGTACATAAGCATTCTCTGAAAGAGGAGGTCGGCTCAGATGCCCATGGAGATGTATGTCTTGTCCAGTTGCTTGCTGGTTTCATATCTAGCTGCATATTCCATAGATGAGCAAGAAATGTAACTGAATATTCCTCACGGCACCCACTTGATACTTGGCCCCCAGGGAAGCCGAATAACCTTGGCTGTGATAACTTGATACGGACAGTGAGAGAAGCAGCAGCAAATCCATTTTCCACTTCCAGGACATGTGCATCATACTTGCCCGGTGTCGTTAAGCTCCTGCATCATTTCTACGCGGTTTGTGTGGTGAACGACTGTAGGAATGTGCCTAAGGCATGTCTCATCTATCCTGGTAGAACTCTTATCTCGGCCCACGTTGGATTGGGGCGGGGAGTTAATTAACTTTCACGGAGTCACACTGGATTTCTCCATAGGATTGGTCAGCTCCCAGTACACTGTCACAGAATGTCTCTCTCTATACTTGTACTTGGGGAGCTAAAAAAAAAAAAAAAAAAAAGGAACCATCATGTGTCACCGATTCGCCCTCCCATTAATTTTCTCGAGTCAGTTACCTTTAGAACCTGAACGGCCAGCCCGTTTTCTAAAACCTGTGCACAAGGCGACCTCTTTCTTTCCACCCAGTTGTAAGGTGACACTCTTGAGATTTTTTTGTTGTTGTGCTCAATGATTTGAAATCCAAACCTGTTAAATTTTCTATTTGCATTAAATGTCATTCTGCTGCAAGATCACAAGTACAGTAGGTGTGCGGCCCCAGGAAACCCTATCCGTTAAGGATCCATTATACTATTACAGCAGCACACAGGCATCTCGGCAGCAGGGACTGCCAGCGTGAGCCACTTCAGTTCTTTTTTTTTTTTTTTTTAGGGAATCTGACACTTAGCAGCCCTGGTGCAAACTGCTGCTGGCTGCCTGGGTTTATTTTTGAAACCCGCTTTACTGAGTTGGAACGTGGTTGTTCATAGCTCTCCTCTTTGGTCGGTCCTTCTCCCCCTTCACACACACACACACACACACACACACACACACACACACACACACCCTCAGTGCACATTTACAGCTCCCAATGTGATTCTTGCATTTTAATTCTCTGCCCAAAATAACTTGGGAGATGATCATGTGTTGAAATTCATCCGCACTGACATGCGTTAGAGAAATATAATGAAAAGCTTTCCTATATATATATATATATATATATATATATATTTCCAAGTAAAGCATTTAGCATCATTAAGGGAACTGCGAAGAAATGTGTCATTAGGAAGGGGGAGGAGGGAGTGGAGGGGCTGAGCTAAAATCTGGAGTGATCTGTTTGTTCCCTCATATAACAGTCAACCTGACACAGACTGGCATCTTAAGATTTGGCTGCTGGTGGGGACCCCCATCTTCTCATAGGCTAGCAATAATGTTCAAAGATGTTTGTTTGAATGCCTCCAAAATTAGAAAATGAGCTGAGGGTCCTTTGGTCCTGTCCAGCTTCCTCCTGATCATGCACAGTCCACGCTGCTGCAAGCTCATGGATGCAGGCTCAAATGGCTTCAGAGACACAACCTGTGAAGATGCTCCTAAAAGCCAGTCTGGGTTTGAGGGTTTTTTTTTTGTTTGTTTTTGTTTTTTTAGAACTTCCTTCACCATCTCAGCATTTGAGGATTGGAAATCTTGAGTCAGCCACTCTTTCCAGTGAAATCCAAATGACATTCTGATCGTTAGATAATTTACTTATTCAAGAGGATAGGCGGTCTAGGAGAGTGTGCACTCTCATATCATAAAGTCCGAGGTGAGAATAGCTTCAGGCCCTGATTGCACTTTCTATAAGTGTTTAGAAAGAGAGAGGCGGTGAAGAAGAGAGCCGAAGCCCGTGAGCCACACCCCTGGGACATCCCGTCGGGCCTCTGTGAGTTTACATAGCTCTCTGATAAAATACCCCCACTAGGGATCTCCCACTGGAAGAAAGTGCTTATCTGCTGAGTGAACTGCACATGCCCGGCCCCTCTGCGGCTCACCTGTCTGCACATCTCCACTGAGCTGGGCAAGATTTGGGAAATCACTTTGCTTGCAGAGCAGCAAGGCACACATCCACAGCTTCAGCCCCTGCCTCCTTGAAGTGCTGGGGATTGGACCGGGGCCTTGCAAATGCTAGGCAAGTGTCCCCTGCCCCTTCCTCAACACTCCCAGTGACCTGTCTGCCCGCTATTGCTTCAGTTTACCAGATCAGGCCTAAACGTGTGCCAGATCTTCAGTCATCTTTACAGCTAAGTTTGAACTCTCTCCAGCAAAGTTAAAGTTGTCTTTAGCACCATGTGGCCACAATCCAGTTCGGTTACTTGGGTTATATATAGAATTTGTTATCTGCCTTAGGAAAATGGGGTTCATTTCAGGAGTTTGCCATTCATGGCAGTATTCCATGGAGCATAACTAAAGTTCTGGAGGTAATTGCAAAAGAAAGTACTAAACACGATGCTTATTCCCATTAAACTTAAAAAAAAAAGTCTAATTTCCCATGAGCACAAATTGATAAATTATTGGACTATAACGAAAATGAAGCAGACAACAGCAAAATCCCTTAGTACATAAATATTTGCATCGGGAAGAGTCCGTAGTCCTGGTAAAGTGCACTTTTCTTTAGAAGGCATTTGCATTTGTGATATTACTGTAGGACATTTTGAAACTGAGGGCATGACTTTAAGAATATTTGCTTCTAGCCAAGTCTTTTCAGGTAGACACTTGCAATTCAACATAGTGGAGAAAGGATGGCCTTAGAGAAATTGTCACACCGGACAGGGAGGCTGATTCTTTCCATTTTTAACACTCAGTTGCAGAAAGAGAACAGTCCCCGGAGAAGTGGCAGTTTCCTCTGCAGTCAAAAGGAAGACAACCCTCACCCTTTTCCACACCAAGGAGGCCTCCGTGCGCCCCGACCTGTGTCCATATGGCCCTGTGCAGACACTGACTCCATCCCATTTGAAGACCGGCCGCTTTCCAAACTGAAGGAGTCGGACAGGTGCTCGGCCAGCGAGAACCTGTACTTGGATGCTTTGTCCCTGGATGATGAACCAGAGGATCCGCCACCCCTCAGGAACTGCCTTGCCGAGGTCAGCCGGGGTTTGTGCTCTGAGGTCCCTAACAGCAGGAGGGGGCTGTCATCAGCTGCAGCCAGTGTCTGGCAGATGCCCCTCCCGGCAAGTTCCCCAGACAACCTGTGCCTTGAGCCCAGTGACCCTTTGCCAATGGAGACAGTTTTGTTTGGTGGACCTGACCCTACTCCTGTGGTCAGTTTAACTTAGCCATCTTGCTGTGGGTTTAGAAGTGCTGGACTAGGGTCCCATGCAACATGAAAACTCTCAAGAACGAGTGTAGTCAACAAAACACAATAGACAAAATAAATGTGTGTTTTCAACTTTTCTTGAAATCATAATACAGTTTTCTGATTCTAGAAAACTAATGGCTGAGAAATAGTTCTGTATTAAGGAATTTCTTAACATTTAATAGATATCACTAAATGGCAGCTGATGTAAATATTCTGGGCAAAGGGAAAAAGATCCAACAATTGAATCAACAAATGAGAGAATTAAAGAGAGCCACCAAAATTTCTGTGGCACAATGTTATTTATTTTCCCGTGATGATTTTTGTTTGTGTGTTTGTTTGTTTGTTTGTTTGTTTGTTTTGTTTTGTTTTTTGAGACAGGGTTTCTCCATGTAGTTTTGGTTCCTGTCCTGGATCTTGCTCTGTAGACCAGGCTGGCCTCGAACTCACAGAGATCTGCCTGGCTCTGCCTCCCGAGCACTGGGATTAAAGGCATGCACCACCACCTCCTGGCTGATTTTGTTTTTAAAACCTCATTTTAAAAAACTGGTATAGGAATAGTGAGACCCTGTCTCAATAAAACCGGGATGATGGGGAGGGGACACTAGTATAGGAATCGTTACATGTGATCCAATTAACAGTGACTCTACTGGGTACTGTTCTTTCTAATACCTCAGACTTACAGGGACTTGCCTCAGATAGTGCTGAAATATGGGGACATTGTGTGAGTTGAATGTCCATGTTTCAAAATGCTGAGACCACAGGGTTTCGGGTTTCCAATTTTTATGCAGTTTGGGATATTTACATATTCATAATAAGGTTTCTTGAGGATAGGACTCAATTCAAACACAGAAATCATTTATGTTTCATATACACCAATGCCTGTAGCCTAATGGCAATTTTAGTCTATATGTTTATTTTGTGTGTGAAACAAATGTCAGAAATGTTCAGGTTTTGAAGTATTTCAGGTTACAGATTTTTGGATAAAGGGATGCTCAACCACGTACGTCAGTCACGTCAGTGACGTCAAATATTTGCCTTACCCTCAGCAGTGTGTGTCAGGTTGGTAGAATGTCTGTTGGTAGGTAGGCCCTGCCACAGGTCTGCAGGCGATCTCTGGTCCAGCTTTGTAGCCGAGAGAGCCAAAGATCCAAGTGAGACCCTTCCTCAACTCTGTTGGAGGAAACAAAGGCTTGCTGTCTGTGAGGAAGGACATGCTTCAGTGTGACTGTCCCAAGGAGTATGGCTTCATTACTGTCAAGTGATGGTTTCTTCCAGTGTGTCAGCATGCAAGTCTTTTTCTCAATAGACAGACAGCCTTTGCCATTGTGTTGTTGACCACACAGCTCCTGCTGCTCTTAAGGGGAAGTCACTGTTTTTCTACTTCTGATCCTAACTAAGAATATTCAACAGCAAGCAGGAGCCCCTGCCCGGAAGATGCCACCCATACCAGCCTCCATAGCAAGATGTGGACCAGAGGACATCGGTCTCTCAACTCTCCACTCACTCTGTTAGCTTCCACGCCTCCACTAACATACGCACACTTGGACTTACCCGGGATGGCCAGTTCTTTGAACTTCAGTGGGGAGGTCCTCTATGGGAGTTCAGGAGAGCCGTTTACTCAACCAGCTTTAGAGTCAGTGTTCCTCGCTCAGGCAGGCCCCTCCCTCCCTGGGGAGGCTACAGAAGCTCTTGCCCTCCCATGATGCTGCGGATGCTGCTTTTACTGTTAAGACTTCAAAGGGCTCCGGGCAGTAGCCCAGAACTGGGCCTCAGTGAGCATTTTAAACCACATCTTAAGGGGCTAGAGCAAAACGAGTCACTTTAGCCCAGACAGGATTCCTAGGAAGCCAAAATCGACTGATTCTGACAAACATTTGTTTTTTATAGGAAGAAGAAAGTTGCAAGGGAAATCTTCAAAGGTAAGTAAAATTGATTGCTAAATTAGAAATCTTTCATTCTTAAGGTCCTACTGTTTTGATGCAGTGTTTATGGGTACTCTCCGGAATAGTTTACATTAAGTAGTTGCTATTAAATTATCGGCTTCGTGGATTAGTATTAGCAACCAAAGGAACACACGCTGATGTGTGTCTTATGACAAGAACTTTGCAGTGCTTGAAAAGGTCAGTTTTTCAAAGGTCTGTGGAAAACTTTCTTCTTATGGGCCGTTCAGAAAACCGCTCCTCTCAGGAGGCATTGCTCCTGGTACATGGGGGATTTGTTGTTACAGTCCTTCCTGCGGTGATCCCCCAGAGGAAACCGACCGAGCTGCGGCCCTTCGTGTTAGCTGCACACCAGCTTCCCGCTCGAGAACCCATGCTTCCTGGTTTCTGCCTTTTCTTCCTTCTGTACATGGAGACACGTTATCTCCATCCCATCTGTTTCTCCGGCAGTTTGCCACTTTCAGTAACCCTCCTCCTTTTGGTCTGTGATCTTGGAGGCTGTAAGTGACCACCTCCTTTGGAGCCTACGTTGTCTGATGTCCACGCAGCCGACAGAGTTGTCTGGGCATGGTCCTGCCCTTCTCTGGTCTTCCCTGGGCAATGCAAAGTATACCTGAGGGCTTGGGTAGTCCGGAAGTAATCCTCGTATGCCTCTTACTGCTCTGTTTCCCTGGGTCTGGGACTTAAGTGCCTTGGGCCTCGGTCGCCTCATCCACAAATAGGAGGGTTTCAGATGCTTGAACAATTTTGTTGTTTTATTTTCTTGGAGAGTTTCAGATTCTTGAAAGATTGTGCTGTTGTATTTTCCTTGTGTAGTTTACACATGGGAGCACACGGGAAGCCAGTCAGTATCTGACACAGAAGCAGCCCACCCAGTTTAGCTGCCCCTCCAACTGCTCTGCCCATTCCCAGCAGCATCCACAGCTCTGTGTCCAGGTGAAGGCTTCGAGCTGTTTGCTTTTGGTAGTCCAGGCCTCCCCATCTCTCTGGTTCTCTTTTGCACTCTGTTTTTAAATCTTATTTGCTTCTGTTGATTTCAGAAGGAGTCGACGTGGGGGGCTGTGCATTTTAAGTAGCATCAAAATGTTCAAAACTGTGAAGGTACCGACCCCCTCCCCTGGCCATGCACTGTGTGAGTTCTAGCCGTATGGTGGGTCCTGCCCTATCTCTTATATCAGGAGGCACTTGAACATGCTTCCTCTGCGTCCTAGTCTCGTTTCATCAACGTGGCTGCTTCTAAGGTCCATGCCCCTCCGTTCTTTCTCATCCCTGTGCTCCTCCATCCAGCTAACCCCAGGGGCACGAAGCCCCCACCCGTGGCCGCCACTGGGGGTTCTGTGTAGCAATCATTGAGCATTCAGACTTGCTCATGGAGGAGCCCCAGTCTGGCCTGACTGTGATCACCAGGCTCTGTGGAGGGGTGATCTGTGCCCTGGGTCTGGGATCCCCTCTGACATGGCCAGGGCTAAGACAGAACCCTAGGTACACACTGTCTGTCAAGGGAAGGGAAACTGATCTAGCGGGATGGTAAGTTGGTGTCTGCCTTGCCTCCCACTTCTGCTGCAGTTGGAGTGACTCTGGGCCACAGAGGTTCTGTCACCTGAGGTGGTGGGCACACCCAGTCCCCAGCCTCTGACCATTTGTTCGCCCTGGTGGCTAGGCAAGCTGTATGACTACTAGCCCAGCCACCTCCTGACTTGTCCAGTATGGCACCCCACCGCCTCTGGGGAGACTGAAGAGCAGGTTGGAAAGCATTCAACAAATTTACGTCGGATTGAAAGATGAGGAGTTAAAATGCTTGCCCTGAGCATCTGCACCCATATGCATATACGCACTGGGCGATGGCTACCAAAGTCCAGCTATTGTGACTCACCTGTCTTCCCTCTTTACTGTTGTTTGTGTGTCGGAGGGAGTTTTCCTCTTACAGAGGACAGAAAGAACACATAGAGAGAGACCACTTGCCTATAGAGAGGAAAGCAGAGAGAGGAGAAGTACGCCCTCATACTGAATTGCGTGGGCTTGATCGGAATCTTGTTTGAAACAAGACTGGAAGCTGACCACTTCCCTGTTTTCTCCCACATCTTCCAAGTGGCCTTTGGAGACTGTTAGTCCTTCAAGCCAGTGGAGGATGAGGCTGGGTGAAAAGAGATGGGGACCTATAGATGTTTCACCAGACTCTCTCTCTGCCGCGTCCTACGGCTCACTGTAGCTAGAGATTAGGGCGTGTTCATCTGCACGGGTGGATGGAAACCATGGAAGCCAGTAGAGGATAATGCTCCTCAGTGGGCTGAGTGGCCAGACCACAGCCTGGAATTAGCTGTGACCGGGTAGATAATCCATGTGTCTGTGTAGCCATGGCAGCGGCGGCGGCGGCGGCGGCGGCGGCGATGGCACTGGCGGCAGGGGGGTGGGGTGGGGTGCGGTAGCTCTATTAAATTCAGACCAAGGCAAGGCTGTAGGCACAATTGCAGAGCAGTACAACTGTGGGCATTCATGGGGTGAGCATATCAGCCACCCAGGATATCGAGTGGCTGGCCTGAATTTTTAAGAGGTAGGTAGAGGCGGGCACCTCCGTGGGTACGTCTTGTGTAGAGCACAGCCCAGAGCCGACACCAGCTCTCCTTCTTTCCCCAGGGCTGTGTCCGTGTCCTGTATGTCTGAATTCCAGCGTCTGATGGACGTCTCCCCATTCCTGCCTGAGAAGGGCCTGCCGTCTGCCAGCAGCAAGGAGGATGTCACTCCGCCCCTGTCTCCCGATGACCTGAAGTACATCGAGGAGTTCAACAGCAAAAACTGGGACTACACTCCCCCCAGGACTGGGACTGATAGGCCTCCAGACCTCTGGGCAGACAGGACCGAGGTGGGGCGGGTAGGACAGGAGGCCACCACAGAGCCTTTTCCTGACTCCTCCTGGTACCTGACCACAAGTGTCACCATGACGACGGACACCATGACCAGCCCGGAGCACTGCCAGAAGCAGCCCCTGCGGAGCCACGTCCTCACCGAGCAGTCTGGGGTGCACGTATTGCACAGCCCACCTGCCATCCGCCGGGTGGACAGTCTAGTGTCGGGCGGGGAGGGCAGGAGCCGAGGAGACCCCAAGGGCCCCTTCCCCGTGAGCAGAGCGAGAGGGAACCTGGCAGATGCCAAGGGAGGTCACCCGGAACCTGTGCTCAACAGGTGGCCTTGCGCCCCACCCAGGCACCCCCGAGACTATGTGGAGGGGTCCCTCCGCCCCCTAGACAGACCCGTCTGCCCCTCCCTGGGGTTCACCTCCCCCCTGCACAGCCTAGATATGTCTAAGAACATGAGTGATGACATGAAAGAGGTGGCCTTCTCTGTCAGGAATGCCATCTGCTCTGGTCCCGCTGAGCCACAAGTCAGGGATATGGCTTGCCAGACCAACGGGTCCAGGGCTGCAGGGACACAGACCATCCAGACAATCAGTGTGGGCCTGCAGACTGAGGCCCTGCGGGCCGGCGCCGGCGGCGTCACCAGCAGCCCCCACAAGTGTCTCACACCAAAAGCCGGAGGTGGCACCACACCCGTGTCTTCTCCTTCCCGAAGCCTTAGGAACAGACAGGTGGCCCCTGCCATCGAGAAGGTGCAGGCCAAGTTTGAACGCGCCTGCTGCTCCCCAAAGTATGGTTCCCCCAAGCTTCAGAGAAAGCCCCTCTCAAAAGCTGACCAGCCAAATAGCAGGACCTCACCGAGCATGGCCCAGAAAGGGTTCAGCAAGTCGGCCTGGGCCCGCTCCACCACCACCAGGGAGAGCCCTGTGCACACCACCATCAACGATGGCCTCTCCAGCCTCTTCAACATCATCGACCACAGTCCGGTCGGGGTGCGAGCCGGGAGCCGCTCTCACTCAGCGGAACCTCGCCAGGAGCTGGGTCCAGGCCAGGAAACGGGCACTAATTCCCGAGGGAGGTCGCCCAGCCCCCTAGGGGTGGGCTCAGAGACGACGTGCCGGGGGGATGGTGGAGAGAGCACACCCGTGAGACAGGACTTATCCGCGCCCCCCGGCTACACACTCGCTGAGAATGTGGCCCGGATCCTCAACAAAAAGTTGTTGGAGCATGCCTTAAAGGAGAAGCTAGCCAGCACCCACAGCCCCTCAGGTCTCACCAGCGACAGCCACACCGGAGAAGCAGGACCAGCTGAACCAGGATCCATGGAGGTAAACTGGGTACTGCCCCATTCATTGCCCATCAGCTCTGCCTTTAGCAGCCTAGCACAGGAAGCCTGGGGCGGATCCTGGGCAGTGGTTTCAGGAGTCCTTGTAACTGGGCAGGGATGAAGCGAGCTGCAAAATGGACCAGGCAGAAAGATAAACCTTGAGTAACTTATAAGAAAGTTTACTTTTACTGTCCTCAAAATCGTGAGGACGAGGTTTGGTCTGACTCTGTCCTCTGGTCTGGGATTTGTCTTTCTCTCTTGGTCTGGGATTTGTCCTGGGGTATACTTAGTTCCTCTCTGTGTGACTTGGTGCAAGTGTGAAAACTGAGTGAGCAGAAGCCATGCGTGCATGCCTGTCTGGTCAGGACTTCTCCACACTGCAGATCTTTATGTGTGGCTTCCTGGGGGGGCATGCTATAGTGTATTTAGACCACATAGACACAAACTTCTTTGATTGGGAACTACAAGAATAGCTTTTGGATTCTCAGGCCTCCTCAGTACAGAGTTTGTCATCTTATGAACCACCCTTCACTGGAATCAGGTAATGGATAAAGTAAAAACTGTGCCCTAATAGAATATGGAAAAACAAACAAAAAACAAAACAAAACAAAAACGAACGAACAAAAAACACACACGCAAACAAGGGCACCCACGGGCATGGTGGTCCACAGCTTTAGGGAGACAGAGGCAGGTGTATCTCTTTGAGTTCTAGGCCATCCAAGGCTACATAATGAGAACCTGTCTCAAAAGAAAGAAAGAAAATCCCATGCCCACAGCAAGTGATGACAGCAGCAGGGATTTGCACCTCACTGTCAAGGCCTCGCTGACAGAGCAGGTCTGTCCAGTCAGTGATCACATGACTGCAACTCCTAGGAGCCTGGCTCTGCACGTGTGTTCGTGAGCCTCGTCCAAGCCCAGCCACTCCCATGTCCAGCAAGGGCAGGGGCAGAAGACAGCAGGGCGCTCCCAGGCTACCCACAGCGTCCTTGCACGGAGTCAGCTCTGGCTTCCCGTGTGACATGAGGAGAAAGGTGTGCCTCCTCTGCCGCTCGCCCCACACCGCTCACAGGTTCCCCGTCCAGCCCTTGGGGGAGTATTCAAAATAGAGAGTTCCCACCAGAAGTAGGTCAGGCCATGCTGGTTTTGACAGTTACCTATAGAAACTGGCAATCCCCTGAGCTGCTCTTCCCAAGGTCTGAGTTTTAGGGACAGATTTGCCACGTGCTCTGCCAAGAATGGACAGCACAGGATAAGAGTTCTCAGGTAACAAATGGTGTCTCTTTTGATATTTTGTACCAGCAAATCTCAGGAGCCCTCAGATAAGTTCCTGTGGCTTGGGAGGGTCTGTGTGTACATGAATACTCTGCCTTCAGTTACAAGAGAGCTTGTTTTAAAGCATTGTCCATTGGCTGTCTTGAGTTTCTGCTCTTATTAGAGGCCAAGTAGAAATTAAGTTTGGGAACCAAAGAACCTTTGTATTCTTGACAGCAAATGCTTAGAGCAACTGGGTGACGCGAAGGTTTAATAGTTGATAACACATAGTTGAATGGAGTCAGCGCCTGGGGGTGCAAAACTCACGATGTCACTGCAGATCACTCTGCACGGCCCTTATTCTCCGAAAAGCACCTGTGTCGAGCCTCGAGCCTCCCCTGCACCCCTCCCACCCCCCACCCCCTACCCCCCACCTTGTTGGCTCCTAAGCAAGCTGAGTGTCGCAACAGGGTACACAGCCAGTTTCAGGGGCCAAGAGCCCACGGGGAGACTCACCGGCAGCGTTTCAAGGCCGTGGGTTCGTCTTCCCCTTTCTCTCAGCAGTTGGCCTGTTCTGGGTGCCAGCAGAACCAGTCCTGCTTGGATGGACCCCACGTAATAGGCCCGTTGGGAATCACGTCTCGCCTCGGTGACCTTGTGGCAGGTCTGGCTTTCATGCCCCGAGCCGCGGAGTCGCTGGTGTTTGCCTAGCCCGTGCCAGGCACCCTGTGTAGCATGTTACTGGGGTCTCAACACATGAGAGACAGGAAGCGTCCCTTCTGTGCTTCCCTCTCACCCCTCAAGTGACCCTGGCCTCTCTCTCTTGAAGCTTGGCAGCAAAGGCAGAGATGTGCCAAGAGAGCGATCTGGCATCCTTCCCTCCCAGAGCTAAGTGGACTGGGGTACATTCGCGCACAGGCAGGTGTAGCTTGTGGTGAGCAGAACAAGCCAGGCTGTGTATCCAGACACACCACTACGCCACTCACATACGTGCTGTCAGAGAGCTGGGGGGGGGGGGCACTGCCTGTCCCTGGTTCTGCTTCCTTCTTCAGTCTGTTGGCACATGGCAGGAGACAGTCCTGTGGGCTGAGTGCCATGGCCGCCGCCTCCTGCCCGTACCCTGCCTGCCTCTGAGTGAACTCGGGGACCACCGTTCTCTCCTGGAGGCCGTCTTAGAGCAGGGACTCTGCTTGTACTGTTCTTCTGTTTGAAACATACTTTCCAACGGACTTGTTTTTCTCTCCTTTCTCTGCCTGTCTGTCCAGAACCAAACTGTCTTACTAACTGCCCCATGGGAACTCTAGCCCTGCCTGCCTCACACTGTAAGTGCCTCCTTCTCTCTCGCTTCCGCCTGTCCAGAGAGTTGTATGTGTAGCTCATGTGCTCATGGTTGTCATCCATCACCATCTGTGGAGATCCACTCTCACCCCCCAAGGAATGGACCCCGAGTGCAGATACCCCGCTTTGCCTGCTCCAGGGTTGACTACTTAGCTTGTAGTTTCCGCTGGGGTTTCTCCCATCCTGGAGTTTGCAGTTCGAGCAAGAGAGAAACATTGGTTAGGAAGGACCATCTCAGGCCCTGCCTGGAGGAGCCTTTGAACCCAGCTTCTGTTGGTTTTAGACCCACCCACCACGGCTCACTGGCATTTCAGTTGCATATGTGTGCTGCGGTGTGCTGGGGTGTGGTGTGCATAATGTGTTGAGCCTTCTTGCTCATTTTTTTTTTTTCAAACAATCGTGCCAGAAAGAATAAACCCAAATGTCCTTTGTCCTTCCAAGTACGTCTACTGGTGAAAAAGTAAGTCCTTGATAAGTATCAATGAATAATAATACTCTGAATGAATAATAACAGAGACGTCTCTGTTGCCTGTATTTTTGAGAACTCAGCATGGCCGTCGGAGCCTGAACTGAGTGAGACCTATGAGAAAGTACACGTTGTGGTTTGAGTCAGGGATGTAGTCACCCTCCTAATCTACCTGAAGTTAAGAACTGAAGCAGAGCCATGCTGTACGTGGTGGCGCACACCTTTAATCCCAGCACTGGGGAGGCAGAGGCAGTGAATATCAGTGAGCTTGAAGCCAGCCTGGTCTACATAACAATGTCAAAGCCAGCCAGGGCTACATAGTGAGACTCTGTCTTGGGGCTAGGGGAGACATAACCACCATCAGATAGAAGTCATGTCCCCATAGCAGGGGGAGGGGCTGAATGGCCAAGAAATTGGTGGACAAGACCATTTACACACAGCCACCCCACTGGCTTCTGAGTAAAGGACAGCATCGCTCATTGTGTGTGCTGGTGTCTTACTAAGGAAATGTTAGTTTCCTTGACATTGTGGCTGCACATTTTTTTTTTTTCCTGCATGAACAGGTGCTAGTGAGAGGGTTTGATGGTCTCTGGGAAGAGCTCATTCTATTCGGCCTCAGTGGGAAGAGGGCCTGGATAGATCCGTAGCAGCAGCCACACCGATATTCAGCAAACGTGTGCATGCTCACTCCTGTAGTACTGGGAGCAGGGACGTGGATTTCACAAACCATACCCACCCTCCTCCAGGTACTGTGAGTTGAGGTAACGAGACAGAGATACGGCCTTGACCTCACGCGTATCCACGTGGTAGCTATAGGCACATCCTGGCTGTCACGGTACTATCAGTATAAATGGCCCAGGGAAGAGCCTCCTAGGTCAGTTAGGAGGCATCTGATGGAATGGTCTCAGTGTTAATGTTTCCTTCCTTGCTGTCCCCTCAGGGATGAGGGGAGGACTCTACCCCATTACTCCATTGCCCTTGCAGAAGCCTGTGGGTCCCTTGCCGCCCTCGGGTCATGACATCCTCACTGGCCATCTCTGAGCATCCTTGGTCATGTTCTCATCTTCTCCCAAGAACCATCGCCTGCCCACTGGACACAGCATCTGTCCCTCCATCTCTGCTGTTCCCGATCTCTTCATTCTGGGTCCTTCATTGTCTGTCATGTCTAGATCTCCCAGTTCACCTCTTGACTTCCATTGTGGGGCCTTATTCCTCGACATCCTCTTTGTGCCTTTCATCACGGTACTATACCTCCTCACGTTTTGTGTGAGCATCACACTGCGTTGTGACCCAGCTCCCCACCTTCCTGTGTGTTAGTAACTTCCGAGTTTGGACATCCCCATTCCCTGACACGCAGGCAAGGGACACGTAGCACCACATTCCCTTTAAACAAGCCAGCGGCCACAGGTGATCTGCACCAAGACTGAATGCTGTGTGTCACGTGGTCAGCAGCCCTCAGAATGTTACAGTGGCTGAAACACAAACACATGAGCACTGTCTCGGTACCAGTTTGTAAGACCGCTGCCGCCGCCACGGTGACGAGTCATTAAAGAAAACTAGACCTCAATTAAAATTTCTGTCTGCAACATTTTTTTCCCACACATTGTGGGAGTTTGTTTAGCCTTCTGCCAGTCAGCTTGGAATAAACAGTGGCAGAGTTCTGTTTGAATCCCGTTGCTGATACAGCTGGATGCCACCCCAGGTCCCTGTGGGGCCCCTGTAGACTTGAGATCCTGTGAGACTAGCTCAGTAGCTGAAGGGTTCCTTCAAGGGGCTCAAGGATGGGGCTGGGACAAGGTGACCCCCCATTGCTTCCTCATCATCTCTGTGTTCCAGCTCCAGAGATGCCCTACACGCAGACCCATGTCCCTGTGTTTTGTTGTATTTTTGTCACAGCGTAAAAAGGTCACGTGTCACATCTCCGGTCATTCATGTGGAATGTTTTCCTGATCACTTTTAAGTTACTCCCCGTGCATGCCATAATCACTGAGAAGCTGAAGCCACCTGGGCTGTTCCATTTGACTTCCGTGTGTGTCTGAAGTGTGTTGGGGCCATTGCCCATGCGGACGCTGCAGGTCTGAGTAACTCTGTCTCCCTCTCTGAAGGAACTACCTTGTTCTGCACTCGCGCCATCCTTAGAGCCCTGCTTCTCCAGGCCAGAGAGACCAGCAAACCGCCGCCTTCCATCCCGCTGGGCCCCGCCTTCCCCCACCGCCTCCCAGTCTCAGTCACCTGGAGACCCGGTGTTGGTGTCCTTGGAGGAACACGGTGAGGAGGAGCCACCCGAGGAGAAGCCACACCTGTGACGTGATGCAAGCTTGCATGGATTATCACCGGAATAATTCACTGTAATTTTGCATACCCAGACCATCAGTCACCATCCACCAACCTCTGCCCCCAAAGGAAAGATGTAGCTTTCTCAAGGTCCAAGGATGTTTTTTTTTAAAAACACACGGCTGCTGAATGTTCAACCTGGTAAACTGAGATGTTTCGGGAATGAAACAGTAAACGTGCCTGTAATAATTTTTTCATAGCTCAGAAAACTATTTTTGTCTCCATCTTTTTTACACACAATATATTAAACAAAAAAGGGTAAATAAGGTATAAATAGATTTAAGAGTTTTAAAATGTACATCTTAAGAGATTCCAAACACCCTTGTTCTTGATCCTAACTGCCTCTGTTAAATTTGCACTGTTCCATTTTGGTTGGGTTTCTCCATATTGAGTTCAGAATGTTCTAAGTTAAGTTTTATTTTGTCCAGTGCTGAGTTTTTTAGGAGTCTTTTTTAATGCTTCAGACTGTCCAACTCAGTAAACTCTTTTTAGTGAAAAGGCCATGAGGCCAGAAGACAAGAGTGTCCATAATCTGGAAGGATGCAGATCAACATGTCTGAGAAGGTACGGAGCCCCTCCGATGACTTAAGACTCACTGTATGACCCATATACTCCGCCTGCCGCACATCCTCGGGCACCTGTACATACCCTGCTCTTGTCCCTGCCCGCACCTGCGTGTGCGTCGGTCTGATCCACTGTAACTCATTGTGGAGTTCCTCGTACTGTACGGTTCCTGTCGGTCCCCCTGTCCCAATGAGACAACAGCCCCGTTTTTAAATTATTGTTCAAACATTAACTGGCAGTGTACAAAGCTCACTCGACATTTTCTTGTTTAAGGGAAAAGCACTACAGAAAATCCTGAGGATGCCAAATTGAGACAAATGATGGTGCCTCAGAGTCTGTCTGAGACCATGATGACATAGAAATAAAGCCCTTACAAGGTCTTGGTGTCACAGTTCACTGGCTCCTTCCTCTTCCCCCCACCCCTTGTCTTGTATAGCTCTAAATGGGAAGTTTCTCCAGGTTTTCTGTAGCTGGCAGAGTGCAGGCAAAGGCTGTAAAGAAGGGGACCGGCTACCCATCTCCTGGGGCCGCATACTTGTGAGATAGTATTGTAACTTTCCTGGACTCTGAGGGTCCTGGGAAATTCTCACCACAGATGCTAGAGCTGGGAAGGGCCACGGCAGGCAAGGTGGCTCCGAAGGAGGAATATGTGGTTAGCCTCTTCCCTTCTAATCAGGAAAGGGAGTAAGTAGCCCGCAGCTCTGAGCGTCATTCATCTCCACTGCAGACATGCAGCCCAGCGTCCTGGTGTCGGGGGTGGTGTGAGGCTGGAATTATGAAGACACTGCTGGAGAGCACAGACCTATTCAAAAAGGCCAGAGCTGCTGGCTTTGACGATTCCGTAGCCCAACGGTTCTCTTCTTACAAAGATGAGGTCATAAGGCCTCTTCCCAGGGTCCCACAGTTCCTCCTTTAAATGGTTTCCAAAGACAAGTGTTGGTGCAGAGATGGGGCAGTGGGAACCTTGGCAGCATGTTGGTGGAGACGTTAAGTGATGCTGCCACCGTGGAAGACAGCATAACAGTCCCTTTAATCCTCAAACACAATCACTGCATAGTCAGCTATCTGGTGGTGGATACACGAAGCTTCTAAGTTAAAATGAGACTCCTATAGATACCTTTACACTGCTTTTCACTGGAGCATTATTTATAACAGCCAAAAAATAAAAATAGAAATAACACATATGTCCACCTGCAAGTGAGCAGAGAAACAAAATTCACAGTGGAATATTAGCTGGCAGCAAGAAAGGAGGACACTGTTGTACATTCTTCATTGTGGGTGAGCCTTGAAGACCTAGAAATGAGGTAAGTCTGTCACAAATAGTTGTATGATTTCCATTCATGTGATGTTTACTAATGCAGTCATTCATAGAGACAGAGTAACATAGTGGTTACTGGGGGCAGAAGAGATCTGAGTTGGCATTAAATGGTGGCAGGGTTTTGTTTAGGATGAAGGTAAAATGCTGGAAGTGGGTAGTGATGTCACATTGTCCAATAGTGAAGATACACTTAATGCCACTGGGCTAACACTTAAAAGAGCTAACATGGTAAATCTTTTGCACATTTTACCACAAGAAAGCCTTTTTAATGCAGAAAATGAAAATTTCACATAACCACACTAGATACAGCGACAAACAACTTATCAGCAAGTGGGTATGTTGTTGGAGCTGGGGTGTGGCTCCATGGTGGAGTGTTCCATGTGTGTTTGAAGCCTCGGGATCAGTCTCTAGCCTTAGAGACAGAAAGAGATGTCGACAGGTGCACAGGCACATTCTTTCAGTTGGAGCCAGCGGTGAACTGAGTCTCAAAGCATGTGTCAGGACTGCTGTCTCCAACCATGCGCCTGCTGTATTTTAACCTTCAGACAAGCATCCTGAGTATTGGTGGTGATGATCCCCAGCACGCCTGTTACTTTGGGGGTTCCTAGAGAAAGAGTTTCCAAAAAGCTCAGACTTGATGGTCCTTACAGCACATCATGCTGTGCTATTCCAAAGCTGCCTGAGCCAATCGTGGTGACAGGCTGGACCTGCAAAGGAGTCTGGGTGCTGTTAGAGGGAAGAGGGTACCTGGAAAGTAATACAGGCTGTGTGCTGCTACAGGACACCCCCAAAGTTGCAGGAACAAGCTCTGGTCACCAGGATCGTGCCACGTGATTGAAAGAGGTAAACTTCCCAGGCACAGCAGGGCCTGGGTTGGTGCAGACAATATAAGCACCATTTCATTGTGGATGAGGGAGAGATAGGGGAAGCTTTCATAAGAACAGCCTCATCAGGCAGCTGGCTGGTTGCAGACCCTCCATGAACAAAGCCATCTGGAACCTCCAAATACTTAGGTCTATTATGGAGCCGCTCAAACTTTAAAAGGCAAGACAGGATGATGGAATCATTTCCCACTGCTCTGTCCAGATGGATGCGAAGGCAGTTCTGTGGGTTTGGGGTCGGCTACAAAGGCAGAGCAGCTGTCTGCAGGGAAGGGCCCAGGGGAGGCATCTCCACCAGTCATCATTCATGGGCCAGCTGTTTTCACGTCCTAAAGAAAGATGTGGCAGATTCCTGAGACCCAGGAAGCCAGACACGCCCATCAGCATGCCCTGCACAATGGAGGATGGCAGCTCCAGCAGCCTGGAGACCTTAACAAACCACAGTCAAAGCAGGGGTGGGAGCTGCATGCTGGGCCCTCCATTTTTGCTCTAGGAGATAACGAGCTATGGTAAGGTTTTTAATATTATGTATCTAGATTTTGTATATGTGCACATAATTCTAATTTTTTTTTACTCTTTTCTATAAAATGACCTAAGAGGTTTGCAGATCCTTAATTTCTCAAATTTTTATTGAATACATTTAAATGTTTTGGTACGCGCAGTGAAATGGTCGCTGTGTCAAGCAAATCAGCACGCCAAGCTCACAGGGTAGCGTCCCCCACCCCTTGTGGAGAGAGCACCTGGAATGTACTCTTCTATTCCCTCTGGATTTTTTAAAGAGCATCTCTCCATGTAGCCTAGCTGGCCTTGAACTCCATCCTCCTGCCCCAGCCTCCCCAATGCTGAGATTGCAGGCATGTGCCACCATACCTGGCTCTAGACTAATTCTTTTAGCAAAAGTCCCAAACACAACTCAGTGTGTCACTCCAGCCTTTATATCAAGTATTGGCACCCCAGACTATCAAACTTGGCGGTTATTGCGCACGTTCATGTCCTCTGAAGGCAACTGAAAAGTACAGCTGCTTGTTTCTGTTGTCTAATATGTTGCTGTTTTTAAGTTGTGTTAAAGTATGTGTAGTATAAATTTTACCATTTAAACCTTTTGTGTTTTTTTGTTTTGTTGTGGTTGTTGTTGTTGTTGTTTTGAGACAGGGTCACTATATATCTTTGACTGTCCTGGGACTCACTCTGTAGACCAGACTAGCCTAGAACTCAAGAGATCTGCCTGCCTCTGCCTCCCAAGTGCTGGGATTGAAGGTATGTGCCACCACACCAGGCATTTTAAAAGGTACGTTTTAGTAGTAGTGAATGCACAATGTTTTGCCAAGCACTACCACGTCTTGCAGACACTCCACAAAACCCCAGATGCATGAACTGTGCCCCATTCCCTGCATGCTTGAATCTGCTCTTATTCTCCAGGCTCTTACTTAGGAAATCTCACATAGGTGGTATTTTGTATGCTATGTGGCCTCCTGTGTCTGGCCTTTTCACTTAGCATAGAGTTTCCAAGGTTCATCCGTGTTGTACAAGTAGCAGGACTTCCTAGTTTTGTTTTGAAGACAGGGTTTCTCTTTGTAGCCCTGGCTGTCCTGGAACTCATTCTGTAGCCCAGGCTGACCTTGAACTCACAGAGATCCACCTGCCTCTGCCTCCCAAGTGCTGGGATTAAAGGTGTGGGCCACCACTGCCTGGTTGACTTCATTCATTTTTATGGCTGGATAAAATGCACTGTATTTTGTGTATCCATTTAGCAGTTGGTAGTATCTGTCTATTTTAAAAACAAAAGAAAACCTTTGGTTACCTTTGAACAGCCTGGAGCATTCCCTCCAAAGGAGAGGATTCGCAGTGAGTAGTCAGGACCGGGCACTTTGGAGTCCTTAAACTTCCTTTTTGCAAGAGACCCATTCTTATTATATTCGTCTTGATTGTCTTTGATTACATATGGGCCTTTCAGCAACTCTCCCCTCTGAACAGAGTCTTGTATAGCAAGAACATAGGCTGAGTCATAGACAAGCTATTTTAATAAAATTGAAGACACTGCATATTTAAAACCACCTGGGGCCCCAGAATCCATATGGCACTAAGAGACCAAGACCTGGGGCCACATTCTGGTTCAAACACAAGCAGCATTGGGCCACTTTTCTAAGGCTCGGTTGAAAACCAGTAGCAATAACGCCTGCTTCACTAGGACAGCTTAAGGATTAAGGTTTGTAGGTATACCTACTGCGTGCAGGATACCATGTGCAGAGTTGCAAGCCGTGGGGAGACAGGTGGATTAGCTCCTCAGCCTTATGGAACCTTTGCTCTGGTGATACAGGGCAGACAGGAAAACTTGCTATATAGGTATAGAGAGCAGCTGTTACCAAATGGGGCCCATTTTGCCGGCCGCTTACTATTCCAATCCCTGAAGCCAGCCTATGCATGAGGCAGCCAAACAAACTGGGCTTAAATCTGCATTCCCAGGGTTCCAATGCAGAAAGAGGTGGGACGGGTGGGAGGGGTGAAGGGCTGGAGGTAAGGGAGATGAAGAAACCGGTGTACATGAGCTGAATGACGCTTCTCGGGGTGAGGGTGGATGTTCAGGAATGGCCCAAGGGTGGAGCTTAGGGCCCCGCTGTTACAAGGTCTTCTATCCATCGCTCATCATAGGCCCACAAAAGGAATCGATGACTCCAACAATTTCCAGCTAAACAAGGAAAGCTATTTCCAAATCCCTAAAGCAAAACAAATAAGCAAAAAACATTCTTTACCAAGTTGGCAAGGCTCTATGACTTTATCGTTGCGTTAAAGGACGTCTAAGACCACTGACAAGCAAGGTTCTGAAAGCAAAGTGAGCCAAGGTTCGCTCAGATCTCCTCTGGGTTTCGAAAGAAACCACTTACTCTCCAAGTTTCAGACTTTAGGGAAGGAGAAGGGCTCCAATCTCTTACGAAAGAAAAAGGTATAAATTTCATTGTAGGGAGCAGGTACACAACCAAGAGGCTTCCCCAGGAAGGTGCTGCTTGCGCATGCGCAGGGGTGGGGGCGTGTCTAAACAAAATGCTGTCACTAGGCCGGGAAGATCCTGATCAAAGTCGCTGTGGGGAGGCAGATTGAGCTCCGAATTAAGGTCACTATGGCTGGAGGAAGGAGTAAAGGGCTCTAGAGTGGGTCAGAGGAGAAATTGGAGCGTGGGGAAACCTGGTGGGTCCACAGGGAGGGGTAGGGTACCAGGCTTTTTCTATTGGGCCACCAACCCAGGCTCCTTTCTGGCCAGCTCTTTTAACTTAACTTGTTTCTCTTTGTCTTTTTTGCTCTTCTTTCTTTCTGTGTATTTTACGTTCACTGCTTCTGCGTCTGGCTGACTGGCAGCTGCCTGGCTCCTTGGCCAAGGTGTGCCCCTCACTCTCTCCCCCTTCCTCTCTCTCGTTCTTCCTCTCCAGAGCCTAGATTTCTCCTATTTATTCCCTCTGCCTGCCAGCCCTGCCTAGCCTTTCTCTGCTAGCTATTGGCCATTCAGCTCTTTATTAGACCAATCAGGTACCTTAAGGGCAGGTAAGGCAAAACGAATGCAACACATCTTTACATAATTAAACTTACATCCTTACCTGTTAAACAAATGCAACACATCTTTACACAGTTACTCAGTAGTATTCCACAGCATAAACAAATGTAACACATCTTTGCCTAGTTAACTCTTCCCCAACAGGTTAGGGTTTTCTGGATGGGAAAACAAAGGCACTGGCAGATGATAAGCAAAGGAGTTCCAGGGTGTTGTAAGCAGAGAAAGAGGTGGGGGCCTCCAGGTCTAAGACTGTGGTGCTAAGAAGACAGAGAGGCAGGCAGGCTGGTTTGGGCAGGGTTTCTGCCTTTGCTAAAGTCAGGTTCACAAATAAAACAGGGCGGTGGGGGCTGCTGCAGAGTACCCACACACTGACTAGGGACCCAAGAACCACCTCCAGTTGCTCAGTGAAAACCCTTATTTATTCTTCTGCCACCTCCGTGGCCTGGCAACCTTCTTAAGAAGCCTGCTCCTCTCTGAGCCCTTCCCTCAAGGCACAAGCTCATGCAGCTAGGTTCTTGGGCCTTTTGTGTTGTGTTCTTTTAAGGTTAGGCACTTGTAAGCAATTATTGGACATTTGTAAATGTCAAATAATAATAATTAGCAAAGGCAAGTATCATTGTTTGTTTGTTTGTTTTGTAAGGGGACAACTGGGGTCTCCGGATGTAGGGATGTTTGGAGAGAGCTACAGTGGCCCACTTATTAGTGCTGCAACACAATCTGAATGATATGGTAGGTAGCAAAGGGATCCTGGCCTTGTTTTCCTGGCCCAGGTCCCGTGAGGTTGGGACAGCCTATCCCATGGCAAAGACTGATGTTCCCTGATTTCCTAGCAAGCTACTAACCCTCAGCAAGGCCCCAGGAAAACACACAAACCCCAGTGTCCCTATAGCAATCCTGGAATGAATTTACATTCATCAATGGCTCCGGGTTCACAAGCCAAACCCAGCTCACCCTGTCCCTTACAAATTCCATTTCAGATTGATTAAAATAAAAGCAACGAATAAAATAAGAGGGTATAATAGTAAGTGAGATGCACCTAATAATGCCTATTATAATTTTAAGCTCCGAATTTCTGGAGAGAGAAAGGAATTTATCTCTACAACACTGTTTTTTGTGTCTTGAGTCATTTCACTTAGGGGGATATGCTCCCAAATAATCTCAATGAGATCAAAGTAATCTGCAAAATGGAGTTGTATGGGGTCGAACATGCAGAGAAATGTGGGGAAGGCTGACCAAGTGATGGTCCATGGATTAGTCAGGATTCTCTAAAGGAAAAGAATGATAGAATATATATGTATAGGTATAGGTATATATATGATTGATTTGTATACATATTACTTATTTACATATATATGCATATATGTGCTGCAAGCCACAGGAAAATATAATGGAATCCAGCTACTATCACAAAAGCTACTACTTGGAAAGGCCAAGGACTATTCCAAAGGTCAAGCCATGGCTTAAGAAGTCTTGGTGATATTTTATCTGAAATACCTATCAAGCATCCAAGGCCAAACGATCTCCTGAATTAAGGCAAATTAAGCTTGGACCCTCCTTTCTTATACAGCCTTTGTGGTATTTATACTAACATTGTAGACTCCTAACATTTACCTAACCACCTCTAGGAATGTAGTTTGAGCACATAAATTCCCTTTTTCTGATATATTAACTGATTTTAGCTCTCAGTTGACCTCCTCCTTTACCACTCCCCTTTTGGGTTGTAAAGGAAAGCCTGATGGTCACTGCCTGAGGAAAACTCTTGTCTGCCTTTATGACCTTGTAAGAATTCAAGCCTGGTGACCCTGCTTTAGCTAGATGACTGCTATTGCATGGGTATATAACTGTAAACCTCAGAGACTGAGAGAGGATTTTGACTGGAAAACTAGATGGAGACCTAGAAGAATGAGGTGGAAGATGAGGAAGAGCCAGGTGAGGAAGAACAAGATGAGAAAGACGAAGATGGGGCAGAACTAAGATGAGAGAATTAAGATAGAACTTAGAGGAGTCAGCAGATAAATGTAGAGAGAAATCAGGCAAGAAAGGAGCTAGGCATGAGAGCAGAACTGAAGCTGTGTAAATAGAATTTTATCCCAGAGGAATAAAGTAGACGGACTAAGAGCTCGGTATACTTAGATTCTTTTCCCGAAAATCATTTGTGCCATTAGTAGCTTCTCTTTTGGGCCCCTGGGAAGAAGATTATTAAGGCTGGACCATAATATATATATCATTGAGTGGCCTACAGGTTGTGACCCAGCTAATCCAACAAAGGCTGTCTCCCAATAAAAAGGGTAAAAATGCAGTACTTGTTCAGTCCACCAGGCTGAATGTCTCAGCGGGCCCAGTCTGGAGCTGGAGTCCTGGAGGATTCCTAGAGAACTGCTGGTCTTCAGTCTACATCGGAATCCCAAAGAATTAGGTTCTCATCCCTCAAAGGGATGCTTCAGCAACAGGATAGATGAGCTTACCATGCAAGAGCGAAGGCAGGCAGCCGAAGGAGGAAGCTTCTTTCTTCTGTGGCCTTATGTGGACCTGCCACCACAAAGTGTGGCTCCGATCTAGGGTGGGTCTTGCCCACTCAAATAATCAAGTCAAGAAAATCCCTTACTTCATGCCCAGTTGCTTGGGTTTTAGTTAATTCCAGATAGAGTCAACCTGACAACCAAGATTAGATATCAGAGTACATCAGCAGGTCTGTTCATTTAACAGCCATTCCCGATGCCAAGCCCTAACCCAGACCTTTGAGCAATACTAAGCTCATGATGGCTGCCCTCTTTCCCCAAGGCGCCTCATCTAGTCAAGAGTCCATTTATCTGGGTCAACTCAAGCCTCCGTGTTTTCTCCTGAACTGAAAGTACCTGCTCCTCTGAGATGGGGCATCTCATGTGCCAAGTAGAGATAGCAGCGGCTGCCTCATAGGCAGATCACAAGGACTAGATGAAGTGATGCTGGTTACACCGTGAGCATCATAGCGAGAACTATGTACATGGGTTAAATAAATGATTAGATTAAAAAAAAAAACAAGTTGTAGCACAACATGATGAGTGCTGTAAGAGTTCAGGCAAGCACAGAGTGAGTGTCTAGAGGGACTGATTCTGTCTAAGAGGCCGTGTTTTGGCAAGAGTATTGAAGAATACAGAATGCTTCTCCAGGCAGGCAGGAAGAGGGAAGAAAGAAAACCTCACACTTCTCTGGAATTTTTATCAAGATAGGTTCAAAATCATTATCAATTATTTTTGATGGTTGGACAAGTGTTTGGGTTTGGTTGTTGGTGGTGGTTGTTGGTGGTTTTGTTGTCATTTTAATCAAATTCGAGCCTGTGTAAGCTTTGTTGTAAAGAAAACTGAAATCAGAAAGTGAAGGTCACCGTCATGACGCTGCCATCTATTAGGGTGGCTGGCAGCATGCAGTGGCCTACAGGCAAGACACTTGTCAGCTCCCTCCTGGCAGTGCTTGGTCTGGCTTTGTGTGGAAGGAGTCACTTTTCCTTGATTTCCACGAGAATGTCCCCCCATCAGTCTGTACCACATTCTTCCAGCTCACTGCTAGTGTGAGCTGGTGACCCAGGCAGTCATGTCCACAGTCCACTGCTGGATCCTTGTGAATTCCATCCTGTAGACAGCTGCCCAGGCTCTCAGGGAAGTGCTAAGAAAAATCCTATTTACATACTAATTTTGTTGGTTTGCCATTAAAGCAGCAATAAACATCCTCTTCCCTCCCTCTGAGCCAGGCTTAAGTCTCCGTTCCTTTTAAGGTAGGTAGAGTTCTTGGCCAATGAGACGTGAGCAGTACTGAGTGTGTCCATTTATGCTGGACATCTTAAGATTATTGTAATTTTGACAATTGCATGCATGTAGGGAATATATTGTGAGCATATTTACCCTGTTACCCTCTCTTTCCCCTTCCACTCCGACAGATCCCTTCTCAACTAGTCCCTCTCTTACTACTGTGTCTTATTTCAGGAGTGTGCAGGGCTTGTGAGGGAAGCCATAGCTGCTCTGTGTTCATGATTACATCAGCCACGCCGTATCCAGGAGACAGCATTTCACAGGCTTCCCCCGGCTCTGGAAAACATAAGAGCCAGCACTGACTAGGTTCTTTATTCTGCCCCAACAACTGTGCCAGTGCCACACCAGCCCGGGTCCCCAGTTGCCTGCCCTCCATCCCCAGATCCCCCTCAAAAAATGGAACATGAGTTCTCATTAAGCCACTGAGATTTGGGGATTGCTCACCAGGGCAGTATACCTGACCACAGTCACCATCCACTCACCAAAACATGGAAGGTAGAGAGTTGTCACAACGTATACATAAATGCCACTTGGTGTTATCAAAAAAGGTAAGAGAATGTGAAGCAATGGAAACAGTATTTTTGTGGTTTTTTTTTTTTTTAATTGATTTGTTTGACTCTAATAAGAAAGTCTTCAGATCCTTTGGGAAGAGGACAGACAAATGTGGTACTGAGTCAGCCAGCTCTGTGTGTGCAGTGGGAGGCTTGTGCTGACACCCTGAGGGGGCTGTTCCTTGCCTGTCCTGCCTCCTCCACCCACTTGTTGAGTCAGGGGAAATGTCTCCCTCCAGCTGGCA